CTTGGAGGCAGCTTCAGGACAGAAGCACTCGGTCTTGCATTCCAGAACTGACATCAGATCTGAATGAAGCCTGCCAGCTGGTGCCCACTGTGGACTGGACGGCTTGCTGGAGATGGCGGGAGAGATCCTCAACACATCCGCTCCTGGAAGCACCTGTGTGTGCAGGAGCCGCTGGGCTTCACCAGTGTCTGCACTGTTACTGCCTGTGTGTTCTGACCTGTGCTCCTGTGCTTGCCCACTGACATGATCCTTGCCAGCATGGCTGCCTGCTGTCACTGGGAAGGGGAGAGCTCCACATTCTTGTCCTGCTTGAGGGGGACTGTGCCCATCACTGCCACTTCACACCACTGACTCAGGCACTGGCTGGCTGGACATGAACCATCATCTGTGACATCCCCTAACGCTCACTCTGACGCCAAGATTGTTACTGCCCTGTGTAGGTAAGGGGAATCAACCCATGCTTGGGGAGGTTAACGCTCAGTGTCCTATGTTTTTCTGATCCCAAAGCTTGAACTCTTAATTTCCTCCAAGCTGGCCCCCAGGACACAGGGAACTAATAGCTGTGGTCAGCCCAGTGAGGCCGCCAAGCTGCCACCTCCTTCTGTGATGAGCAGTAACTGGGCTGTAGGTGACAGGATGCCCCTGAGGCTGTGGTTCAGGAAGTCCACAGCCAAGCCCTGGAAAATGCACCTCTGGCTTCTTAGGGCTGTGCTACTGGGCAGGAGAGCGCTGTCCAGTCACGCCTTACCTGCTGAGCTGAGCTCAGGAACTGGGGTCCAAGGGAACTTGAGAAACACACATGTGGGAACCTTCTGGAAAATGCTGCCACTTCTTTGAATTAGAAACCTATCTCGCTGGCTGCTGTTTGCTTGACGGCTGCTGTGTTGGCAGAGTGCCTTGGTGGTCCAGCTCTGGCTCAGTCTTTCACAGAGGTGGCTGGGGGGACACAGTAGCGGCCAAGAGTCAGCCCAGGATCACGAATAGCAGGTGCTTGGGCCCCGACAGCAGGGTGCCAATCTGGTGTCTATGCATTACTAGTGACTTGCTATGGCAAGTAATGATTTAACCTCTCCATGACTCAGCCTGCAAGTCTGTAGATGGGGAATCAACTGCGCTTGTCTTCATGGTGAAAACTGCAGCCCTGCGGTCACATCCCTCATCTCGATGCAGCCCACACAGAGCCCCGTGCTGCCTACCTGCTGGTACACTGACAGATGGGCACCACCACTTCCAGGAAAGCAGCCCTGGGTGTGGGGACCACACCCCTCAGCACGGCATGGATCAGGCGGGGTGGCGTGGAGTGAGGAAGGGTTTTGGGCAGGTCTTGCCTACTCCAGCCATTTGCATGCACAGGGGTCTCATGTCCCAGCAGCCTCTGAGAACACTCAGGCTCCAGGGGTCTTCAGCGCAAGCTGTCACTTCCTTGGCTAAGCCCCACATTTATCAGGACTTCCCCCATCTCTCCCAAGCCCGTGAGCTTCTCAGGGACAGAATCCAGGGCTTGTTATCACATTCTTTTGACCCAGAGGACGTTTGGGATCCAGAGGTCACGGGTCTGCAGTCTAGGTGAGCAAGGTGTAGTGGACTCCATTTCTTCCTCAGGCTCTGAGGGTAAAGTCCAGGCCAGATGCTGAATCAGGTGTGAGTGGATGCTTGCTCAGCCCTAGTGCACCTGCTAAAGAAGTGAACCTGTGAGCCCAGATATTCTGCCTCTGGTGGAACTGGCATCTCCTAGCGATGCTGGTTCCTTCTGGCTGCTCTGCTTCTGATATAGCTCTTTGCTGGTGTTAGAGGAAAGCAGAAAACGGTTCAAGGCTCAGGCCCCTTCTGCCCATGCGGGAGATCCAAAAACTCCAGGATCCTGGGCTTTGGCCTGCCCAGCCCCCACGGCTATAACCATTTGAGGAAGGAGTCATTGGAAGATCTCCTTCTCTCCTTCTCCCTGTAACTCTTTCAAACAAACAACAATACTTTTGAGAAAAGAGTTTCCATTGGGAGCTTCTATGGATACGTGGAGAACAGGCAGGGTACAACAAGCTGGGTTATTCTGGTGTCATCACTCTTGCATACATACACACACACACACACACACACACACACACACACACACACACACACACACACACACACACACACACACACAGAAAAGCAAGCTGTTGCTGATGCCACCAGCCCCTGAGGGTTCCCACCGATGGCCTGGGCAGCCACTTTAGCCCTGCAGGCTGGCCTCAGCACACTGGTGGCAGACAGGACATATGCGAGATGTACAGCAGGCTAAGTTTTGAGTTAGTCATTTTGTATGCCTGCAAACAATGTTATAAATATGTAAATGGCCCCAGATAGAAAAAAAGGGTTCCTTTACCCACCCCACACAGAGAACTCACCCAAAGCACCTGAGGTAGTTGGGCAGAGAAGGCTCGGTGGTGACCTGGCTCTGGGGACAGACGCAATTCTGGCAGGCTCCATCAGTTTTAAGCTTCCGACCTGGGTAACAAGCCACACGAGTGGTGGAGAGCAGGCTGCCCCAGGGGACCTGTGAGCTCCTCTCTAGCGGTACGCAGGCTCTCGGGATGACCGTGTCCTGGCCTGTGAACGGGCAGCACAGCACCCAGGCAGCGCTGACCAACGCACAGGTTCTCTGCTGTGGCCTCGGCTGCTTCCCACAGGCACAGTTCCCTCCGGCAGGAGCCTGGGGCCAGGGCCATCCTCCTCACCGCGGGGATCTCAGCCACTGGTGGACTCTCTGAGACTCAGTGACCCAGAGGCTCTTGTCCATGGGGAACTCTTCCTGGGCCCACTTTCTGTGCTCTGCCAAGTAAGCAAGGCACACCCCAGGGACCTGCTGAGGGCACAGTGAGATGGTGCAGGCAGACAGCCTGTGCCTGGGTCCATGGCAGTGACAGAGGCACAAGGCCCATGCTGGTCCTGACTGGTGCTGCTGCTGGCCTGTTAACACATATCCTTATGACAAGCAGGTGCCTCACCCTGTCACGTGAACCAGAGCAGAGGTAGGCACAGCAGTGGGAACAGGAAAGGACCGAGCACTGAGGTGCACCGTGTGCAGGAACAGAAGGCTCGGGAGTGATGTGCATCAAGGGCAGCCCCTAGCACAGCCACAGGGAGCCAGGGTCTCCTGGCCCAAGGGGGGGGCTGGTGCTTGGCCCTGCAGTCAGGCTATCTGGGATGTCTGCCCCTCACATCAGTCTGTGGGTTTGATATGTGGCTGCATTCCTGGTCCCAGCTTCCTGCCGAGATGCGCACAATGACGCAAGCAGCTCCTGTCACCCTGTGGGGCACCTGGACTGAGTTCCTGGATCCCAGCTTTGGTCCCGTGTGGACAACTGAGGCCTGAGTGCGCCGATAACCTGCCCTCTTTAAAAAAAAAATAAAGAAGGGTAGTGGACAACTCACAAAATGGCCCAATTTCAAATGTTTGGGGTCAACTGAGAATATATTTATTTAAAAGCAATTTTAAATATTAAAAAAAGTAGAAATGAACACATACAGTACTGGACAACTCACATTAAACACATGTGAAATGACCGGCGTGCCGCTGTGTGACACTAACACTCGGGGAGAGCTCGGGGCTTCACTGGTGGCACTACAGATTCCTGTACAACACGGACAAGTTCTAGGCCATAAAAAAATAAATAGTGATCGCTGTTCAACAGTAAAACAAGACACACTCTATTTGCAGAATAGAACTTGTCCTTCTGGAGGCAACAACCCATTTGCTATTTTCTTTGTAAGGTTCCGTACTTTCAAAATACTCTATCATGTACAAAATCACGATAGTGCCTCACTGGGTTATGAACAAGATTAGATTTCAACCCGACAAGATTGCCCAAGGGTTCCTATTAACGTTCCCTATGTCCCACGGTAAACTGCACTAGCGAGAACTCAAACTCTTAGGAAAAGAAAACGCAAGCCGAAAAAAAATAGTAAAACACTCAAGTGTAAGTTGTTACAAAATAGGAAAGAAAGAGGCATTTCATTTTAGACATGTAGCTCTTTTTGCTGTTGCTTTAAAACTTGTTTATTTTGAGATCAGCTGGAAATAGTCTAGGCCACAAAAACCAATGGCTCTTCAATGTAGCTTTGCCCATGTGGAAGAGCAGCTGCACAGGTCACAGCCCATGTGGACACCCGTGTGGCCTAGCGCCCGGCGGCCAGCCATGGCCCTGCGTGGGGACCTTGCGCTGCCCAGGGAATGTGCAGGTGCCAGGATGCTGAGGAAGCTATTGCTGCAGCTCTCCTACTGCAGGGTGGTCAGCGAGGCTTCTTGAAGGAGGTGGCGTCTGAACTGTGTGTGTAAGCACTTCAACAGAACTCAGCTGCTGTTCACTCTTCCTCAGGGTGTGGTAAGGAGTTGTGCTTCTGTGAAGTGAGCTCTTCTCCTTCAATGCTCGGATCATCTGCTCAAAAATGCCAGTTCCCTGTGCTGTCACCCTCATAGCACCAGCAGAATGCCATCCAAGTCAGGGCACCGCGCTCCTGGGAGCCCCTGCTGATCTACACCGGAGAGGTCTCAGCGAGGCAGGGATGAAGACACCGGGGCAGACAGGGCTCCTGGCGGGGACCCGGCTTTCAGCATGCTGCTCTCTGCAGCATGCAGAGCCCCGGTGCGCATGGTGACGTGTCCACGGGGGTGGAGCTGCACGCTGGGACACTGAGCTAGAAGTGGGCATGTGCCAGAACAAGGGGCGGGGAACCTGGATTTCTGCCCTTCCTTCCAACCCCGAGTAGTCATGCCCAAGAGCACGGGTAGGGGAAGCTGGATTTCCGCACCCGCAGTGGGCATGTGCAGGACCATGGGGTGGCAAAGTGCATTTCTGCACCCCGGGACCTGACTGATGTTAACGTTCTTCCCCTTGATTCCATCTGGGAACAGAACTGGACGGACTGGATGTTCTGACACATTCGGCGGCTGCTGAGCCACCACAGGCCAAGCCAATCCACACTCCTGAGAAGGCCAAATGACTGACTAGAAACGAGCATTGTTGCAACCTTATAATTTCTGCTTTAATGGCAATCGAGTTTAAAAAAATGTACAGTTCCACTTATCCATACTATTCCTTTATAAAAGGCAGATTTCAGGTAAGCTTCTAGATGCATGCATAATGTTGAGGCTAGTATTTTATGGTGGTCCTTGGTTCTTGAAAGCTGAACCGCATCAGTCACGTTCTAAACTTTTCTCCAAATATTCATGAAGGATATGTTATTTTTGCATAATGAGGTAATCTCAGGGGCGGGCGCTCATCACTGTAAGACTGTGTAAATCCACTCATCTAAACTGGCATGAGGCTGTGTGCATTTAAAACGTCACAAGGACTTTGGGGTCAGTGGGTGAGTATTTCGCTGAAGGAGTAACACTTCTATGGAACTGAGCACTTCTCTGTAATAAATACCACAGCAGGTTTGTGTAACTGTAAACTGTGCACACCGATAGGTCACTACGGGCTGCTCTGTCACGGAGCTGAGTGTCACCTGCAGAACAGAAGCCACCTCTTGGCTAATGTTGCATTTTCTGTAACACAACGAATACTGCATTGTTAGGAACAGAGTTAATTCTATGCCTTTCAACGGTTCTGGAGACCACTTCTACTTGCAAAGCCAGCGGTTCCTATACTCTTGTTTGTATGTAAAACAGCAGAGAGAGAGATAAAGAGCAGGAGAGCGAGAGAGAGAAAGATGGAAAAGTAAGTGCTAGACGCCGAGGATGGCTTTGGCAAACCAGTAAGGCGCGCTGGGTCCCAATGCTACCCTAATACTGGCAAAGGAAGAGGACCACAGGGTATTTGTAACACACAGTCTGATTCCTTCCCCGAGTTTCTGACTCTGTAACAGCAGCTATATACACATTGTGCACTGGACTCAGTCCACGGAGGCAGCAGGCTCGAAGGGAGGAGCTGGACAATCCTGTGGTGCAGCGTGATGCTAGTCGGACAGGATGTGCACAAAGGACACTGGAAACACCCCCTTCCTTTCAGGCTGTCCCTCGATGTGCCCAATCTGCAGGGAGAAAGGGGCTGGTCAGGGAGGCGCAGGCAACAGGCAGCTGCCCACAGTCTGCCCCAGCCCCGGGCCACAATCCTAGATTTGATCTGAGGTTGCATAGCAATACAGCGTGGGCCAGCATTCCTGCCTGCTGAGCATGTCCACACGATGCCCTCAAGCCCCCGTGGCAGCCTGAAGGGTGGGCTGCCCTGCCCATAGCCTCATGGAGGCCTCTAGCTCTGGAGTCCATTCTCTAACCAGGGCTTGTCTTTCCAGTGTCGGAGACCTCAGACAAACATAGCTAAGCCGCTGTAAGGACCAAAAAGTCCCTTCTTCCAGGGCCATGCATGATTACATTGCAAAGAAGGGGTGGGGCGGCATCAATGGAAACGGCTGCCATGTCCCAACCGGGGCTGGCCACTCCATCTGAGTGTCCTGCAGCTTGTGCCTCATGAGGGAAAAAGAGACTGCAGGGCTTCAGCACAGGGTTGCACTATCTCAGCATCACTGGCATTCTTTATGGTGCTGGGGGTGAGGGGTGAAGGGAGGGGAGCTCGCCTGGGCATCGCAAGATGTTAGTGGGGTGTCTGGCTTTACTGCCTGAGTGCCTGTTCTGACAATCACCATGCTTAGGCTTTGCCAAATGTCCCTAGAGAAGCAGACTGCCCCATGAATTGAGAACTACTGCTTCAGTTTAAGTAAAATGCCTATAGCTGTCATCTGATGCAAAGTCATTCTGAAGGTGGGCCTGCATACACCCATGTGTGTGCGTGTGCCAATGTGTGTCACTGGGCATAGGCAGGTCCTGATGGCCCCGTTGTGCCTTGCAGGCTGTTTTCCTGGTATGTAGAATGGAGACCCTCTGGGAAGAAGGGGACTCAGGATGCCAAGGAAGTGGGCTCTCCAAGCTCAGGATGGGAAATGATCAGCAAAGCAAAGAGGTGGCTGCCCACAGGCCCCTGGGTGGGCTGCCTGTGCAGTCCCCTACAACCTTGGCTGCTGGCTTCCAAACAGGCCTGAGGGGGGAGCACACTGCTGCCTTTCCTTTCTAACACCTTGGTAGCAAGTTTTAACATAAAAGCAATGTTCACGGGTGTAGAGGGTCCTCACCTTACAAGGGTGGGTCTGACCATGTTTTTTCACTTGGTGATATGTGGAAGCATACTTCACACCCTCCCTCACAAGCCCCCGAAGCGGAGTCAGACACTCCAGAATGTTGTGTTACTAAACTGCATTTCTTACAAGGGCTAGGTGTGGTCTGTTTTGACTTAGAAGTATTTTGACATATGATTCCATTTTCAGTAGACCATGGGCTCATGAGGAAAAATGCTTAACATAACCTGAGGACTTCTCTATTCTCACGGAACCCCCTGAAACCACAGGAAGCAGCATCAGGCTTCCCAGGGCGCATCTCCAGACGGCAGCTAGGACTGAGGCTGCACTGCAGTCCAGGCCTTCGGCCCGGAGTCTGGGCACAGTGTGGGAGGGTGGGCTCAGCACTTGGGGTCAAGTTGATTTGCAATCCTGACGTTGCCTGGGATCCACACATTCCTGTGTGGCCAAGGCAATGTGACCAACTTTTCTGAGCTCTGGTGTTGAGTCTAAAACTGCTGACTACAGACAAGGCATATGATGCATTGGGTGGACACCCAGCTCTGTCTAGCGTCTGACAGTGGCAGGGAAGACCCTTACTGTGGTCTGTTGCTGGGGACAAGACACAGTGGAGGATGAATCTGTGCTGGAGGGGTTCCCTGTCCACTGCTGTGCTGCCTGCCCACAGCTCAGGAGCAACGAACGGATGGAGGTCATGGACAGGGATTCGTACGTACCCACCACTCTTGGTCCTCTTCCCCTGTGACGATAATCACTTCCCCTTCGATGAATGTGAGCTCGTCGTCATTGTCCGCCTGGCAGTCGTAAATAGTCTTCACTCGTCTCACTTTGTTTTTCCCCTTAAATAAGCAAATGGAGGTTTAACTGAAAGGATGGACTGAAGGCAAAAGAACAGCAGAATTCTTTGGGCAAGTGACTTGAGCTCTATGTTATCAATTAGGTGTTACCAAGTTATTCTCAGCAGAAAACAACCGACAGGAGTAGGAATCAAACCTCAACTTCACCAAAAAGCACAAAGCACCCCAGCTACAACATCAGCTTACAGAAATGACAGCAGTCTAAAAATGCTTTTAGGAAACATGATGGAAAGCAAAATGCGCAGCTTCTGCATGCTGAATTTGCAGCATAAACAAATTTCTCAGCTCCGTCATGCAAAATAGTCAGTACATGCTGGTTTAACACAGCGGGTCAGCCTGGGCTTGGGGGCGGTTCTAGGCACTTCCTAAAATAGCTTTCACTTTTGACTGATTCTGAGTTGGGCTTTTAAGTTGCTGGATTTCCTGTTCTCTGCAAATACCAAGATGGAAACAGAGTCATCACCTCCTGAAGACTGTTTAAGACGCTCAATTAAAAATGAGCAATAAGCAAAAGCAAGCTGGGACAGGCCTTTGATCCAACAGTTAAGAACGATACTAGAATGCCACATCACAATCCTTGGGGCCTTAGTACCTAGCTCCTGCTGCTGCTAACGCAGCCCTGGGCGGCCATGGTGAGGTTCTAGTGATCGAGTTCTTGCTACCTACATGGGAGAACCAGATTAAGTTCCTAGCTCCTGTTTTGGGGGCTTGTCCAGCCCCCAGCTATCACGGACATTTAGAGAGTGAATTAGTAGATGGAAGCTCTGTCTCTGATTAAAGTGTGTGTGTGTGTGTGTGTGTGTGTGTGTGTGTGTGTGTGTGTGTGTATACAGTGGAGGCAGTGGGATGGCTAGCCTTGTGGTTCAGAGGGTGGAACAGGCATCCCCTGTCAGCTTTGGCATTATGCCTGGGCTCCAACTCCCTGCTAAAATGCCTGGGAAGGGAGTGCAAGACTGCCCTACTACTCAGGCCCCTGCTATGCACATGAGAGATTAGGATGAATTTCTGGCTCTTGGTTTTTTTATGCTCGTCCAGCTTTGGCTACTATGGCCATTTTAGGGGAAAAAAATCAATAGGTAGAAGATCCGATATTTTGCCTTTCAAATACATAAATAAATCTTTTAAAACAAAAAGGCAAGCTATCTCTTTAAATGTTTTGGGCCAGTGACTTTCTGTTCTCCTATTTCTCCTTTATTCACCTTGCCCCTGCCTCTAGGGGTGTGAGAGGCCTGGCAGGACAGTGGTGGTGGGACATTGTCATTTACAGTCTGTCAGCACTGAGCAGGTGAGGACAGAAGTGACATAAATGACTTGATACAGTGTTGCAGCAAAGGCTCCAGTCCTGCACATGCTCACCTAGGCTTGGGGGGGTTGTGGGAGATGCCCCTGGTGGACAGCAAAGCACCCACCAAAACCAGCGGGCCCGAATCCGTGGGAATATGGGTTGCCTTTTCTTACCTACCTTCCAGTGGTGCGGTGGCACACTTAACACTGTCTTGGTAATAAAGCGTGTGTGTGTATACAGCTGCCACACAGGATGGGGGACTTGGGGTCTCCCCCAGGACCTGTGTTTGGGCTCTCATGGGGTGCAGCTCTGTGCAGGACAAAACTACAACTTTCTGGAGCACCAAAGACTTAGGGAAACAAGAACTTTAGCATTAAGATGAAACTGATCAAATTGCAGAGTAGAAAGCATTTCATGAAAATGTTGGAATCTGAGACTGACCAACCCTGTCTGTGGAAACGTTTTTGAGTTTCTGGTCTAACCTATGCAGGACGATGTAGAGACAGACACTGGTTACATATTGACTGAGGGCTAAAGGTCAAGCTCCGTGCTGTCACGCTCAAGGCTCTGGGGGCAAGTTCATGACCTCCTTTCTGTCTTCGATAACACTGAGGAACAAGACTTAACTTGCCAAGGTTAAATGCAAGACCTTCAAAAAGTTTATGGAGAACATCTGTTTTGAAAAAAAAGTGTGTATTTTCATATATATATATATATATATATATATTTGGCATCAAGATAACCTTGCCTTTTAATTCCATTTTCTGTGAACTTTTCAAAGTGTGCCCATGGAAAGCAGTGAAGCATGATCTTGAAGTCTATGTGAGGCAGTCCAAAGCTTGTGTCAGCAAGCCCCACATCCACGATGCTGGACTTGGGGTGCAGAGCACAGCCCCTCAGCAGAGCAAGCACTTGCAGTGTGTAAGCCACAGCACACACACTCCCAACTCTCACATCCCAACAGTAATACTGAACTTCAGCACCCACTCACCGTATTGATTTTTCTGGGCAGTGGCACTGGTGTCTCTGGCAGAGTGGGCGTGATGAGGTCGTTAGAATCCTCAGATGCCTGTTTTTGGATGGTATCCCTGGACTGCAGATTTGGGGAGAGATCCACTGGGTGTGACTTCTGTGTGACTTCCGGCGGCTTGGCTAAGACATCTCCAGGCTGGGATTTTGCCAGCAGGTCTCCCAGCTGTGGTTTGGGGGGCAGGTCCTTCATCTGTGGCTTTGGAGGCAAGTCTGAGAGCTGGGGCTTGGGGGGCAGGTCGCCCAACTGGGGCTTGGGGGGCAGCTCTCCAGGCTTGGGGGGAAGTTCTGCTGGCTTCAGGGATAGGTCTACAGATGGTGGCTTTTGTGGCAACTCTGCCACCTGTGACAGCTTCTGGAAGATTTCAGGTGGGACACTGGTCTTGTCCAGAGACAGATGATGGATGGTATCCGTTTTCCTTAGTGCCACTGTGGGAAACAGTACAGAGAGGTCACGTGAACAGAGGAGGTGGCCCCCTGGCAGAGGCGCAGCCCCCTGAGAGAGCACTGCCCTTTACCAGCTGTGTGACTCTGTGCCAATTACACAACCTCTCAGTGCCTCAATACTCTGATGAAACCCTACCTCCTAGTGTTGGCATAAAGATTGTGCAAGTTAGTACGGGTAAAGGGTTTGGTGCCAAGCATTATACGAGAGGAATATTATCACTAGATTCCTTCAGGCTAAGATGTCTATTTTCATTAACCTCTGGAGCTCTGACTTGTGGCACTGTGTGTTCAGTGAGGAAACGACCAAGGCTCAGTGCCTGAATCCAACTGAAGGCTTTATCATTCAAGTAAAAAGTACTCAAAAACATTCTTAAGAGAGGAAAGCAGAAGTGGGGAGTAGTAGAGGAGGAGGGGTGAGAAACAAGGTGTACTGAGCTGTTCTTGTGTCTGGCCTGGCCTGGGCAGCTGCGTCCCTCTCCGAGACCTCACTGGCAAGGACACCTGCTAGTGGGCTGCCCTGGCATTCCAGCTGACATGGCCTGGCTCAAATGGCTCCAGACTTCCTTTCTTGGGAGTCTGAAATTCGGCCCACCACACTCTGAGGCAGGCAGGAACTGCACAGTGGTGTGGCCTGGGGGAAGCTAGGGAACTCCCTGGAGTGATGGTGCTGGGAAGTCTTGCTGGGAGCCAGACTTGGAGGGGAACAGAAACTGTGATACTGGGAACCCGCCAAATATCTAAGCTCCCTCACCTCACAACATCAGTTCCAGCAAAACTTATCTTGAAAAATGATCAAAGTCACGAAAAAAAAAAAAAAAAGAGAGAGAGACCCATGTACCAGGATGTTCAGCATAGCACTATTTACAATGAAAAATGGCGAGCTATCTGAATGTGGAGCAGCAGGGATAGCTGAGACAATGGAATACAACACAGCCAACACGAATTACACTGCCATGTAATTAATGTCAGAAAAAATATTTCCCATTTATGGTGTTAAAAAAATCAGCCTAAGTGAAAAAAAAAATGCAGAATGCACTGCATCCTGACAGGCCTGTTACAGGGACAGAGTGAGGCTGGCTGGGCCTCCACTGGGGACGTGGGGTGGGGCTCCTCCTGACACCAGCTTCCTCACTCTCTCCATACTCCTCCCCTGTGAAAATCCACTTCTTCACCTTCCAAGAGAGGTCACAGAAGGTCCTGTAGACACAGAGTAAGGGACGACCAAACCTAGTTCAGGAACAGCTGGGGCTAAGGATGAGCATTCCAGAGCTTCTGTCAGCGTGTGAGCCAGGACTGACGGCACAGGAGCGGACAGAAGCCAGTTGCCTGCTTGCTGGAAGCTCACGTTTTAGAGAGGGGTGAGCACTATGCACAGAGCATATCAGAAGGGGCAGACAGGAAAAGCAAGGGAATGGAGACTATGCTCCAGCATGAGGAGAGTGGTTACAGACGGGGTTGGCGGGTGGTTACACCTCTCTAACAGTGAGATTTATACAAAACACGCAGGAGAAGGTACCACCACGCTGATATTCAGGCCATGGTGGAGGGCAGAAATGGTGTAGACAGAAGAAGCAGGCAATGGAAAGGCTGTGAAGCCACAGTGGGGTGCGGGCTGTTCAAAGGAAGCTACAGGCAAGCGCCACTGCTAGAGCAACCAGGCAGGAGGGCGTAGGTGGTGGGCTTCACACCTGGTGAGACATGAACCTGCCAGGGCCACTGCGAGAACTTTGCTTTGATTCTGGGTGAGACGGGGAAGCCTTGGATTGTTGGTGATGGAGCAGTTATAGGACTGACGGCTTCAATCAGGCAGGAAGCCCCAACAGTCCCAACAAGGCCTGGGTGACTGTGGAGGACACAGTGAGAGCACCTGCATTTTAAGCACAGTGAAAGGGAGAAGCAGAAGGATCTGCAGAAACTGGACACATGGGCTGTGGGGTAGGCAGGTCTCTTAGGTGGGACGAGATGGGAACCCTGGGAGGAGTGAGCCTGGAGATGAACCATTATCTGGAATGATGAGGGCACGCACAGAGCAGAAGCTGCCCAAGACCACAACCTGCAGCACCCCAAGACATGGCCACAGAAGTCAGAAGTGAGGAGGAACCGTCTGTGCAGTGGAGATGAATGGGAGCATGGCCAGGCAGGAGGAGCAATGGAGAACATCAGAAGCCATGGAGAGCCAGGGGAGGAGCAGGCCGAGGTCTGGCTGCTGGTCGCTGGTCGCTGGCCTGGGGGAAGGGGCTCTTGGCTTTGGGCCTCACAGAAGATCATCTGGAGGTCTCCAGAGGTGGTTCTACAAAGCCTGAGCCTGTGTCTGCTTAGCAATCCAGATCCAGGGACAGCTGACAGGACCACAGGGGAACAAGTTCATCTAACCCCCGGGGCTGCAATCAGCAAATCTCAGCCCGGACCCCATGCGAGGACAAGTCAGCCAGTTCCTCAACAGTCTACCAGCAAAGGAGATGATGGAAGGAACATGGTGATGTACAAGCCCCAGTTTGTCTGCTCCTTATTCAAAAACTGTTTTAAAATAACATTTTTGAGATAATTAGAAATGTGAGCACTTAGTATTAGATGGTATCAAGGATTTTTTTTTTAGGTGTGATAATGAAGTTACATGTGTATAAAACGACGTCTGGCTTTTACTACAGAATGACTGGGCCTAGCTGGTAAGTATTACGGATGAGTGATGAGTTTCTGGGTAGGGTGGAAGACGCCTGTCTCACATGCTGTGAGGTAGTTTTGGTTGAGGATACCTTAAAGTTTGTGGAAGGAGAAGACATCTTGTCTCGGTGGTTAAGAAGCAGCCAGTTTAGACACCTACATGCCATGTTGGAGAAGATGGGTCCAGGTCCTGCTGACACTGACTAAGTAACCGGACCCCTATCACCCACATGGGCGACTGGGACTGGGTTCCCAGTTCCCCGCTCAGGCCTGGCCCACCCACCCCAGCTCTGGCAGGTCTGCGGGGGAGTGAACCAGCAGATGGGAACTCCCTCTCTGTCTCTTTTTGCCTTTCAAATCAGAAAAGCAAATTTTTTATATTAAAAAAAAGTTAATGGAGAAAGAAACTAAAAGATTCTTCTGATGCAAAAACACCTGAAAACCATGCATAATTTTTTTTCATAATAATGTATTTTCCATGAACACTTGGCATATCCTTTGTATGTGTGGATTTGACACCTTTTTGTATATCAAAAGAAACCAATTATTTAATTCTATTTCCCATAAACTTTTCAGAGTACCCTCTGTACATGTTTATTATGAGAAATTTCAAACAGTTCAAGAGCAGAACAGGGGTAGAACAATGGGGAGGTTGGACATGAGCCAGGCTGGGAGCTCAGAGGACACACACAATAGTGAGGGAGGGTGCGGCAGGTGGGGTCTCCCTGTGCTGACTCACTGAGCAAGCAGAAGTCCTCTAAGCAGAGAAACTGTGCAAAGGGGCGGGCTGGGAGGGCATGCGCCTGGACCGTCAGGAGCACAGGAGCATGCTGTGAGGCTGGTGGACAGGGAGGCAAGCCTACCACTTCAACTGGATGCTTCTCCCGGCCACAGCCAGCCAATGGATCTAAGTCCAGTAAGCAGGGCACAGTGCAGGAGGGGTGGAAGTGGGGCAGGAATTAGGTGGTGGTTCTGGTGATGGGCTGATGCTAGGGAACAGAGGCTGATGAATGGAGGACAGTCAGTAGGTGTCAGCAGCATGGGGGGTTCCAGTGGGGCCTGGGCATTGCTGTCTCAGCAGGCTGGAAGCATAGGTGGAGGGACTCAACGACACATATGAGTGACACAGGACAGACTCTGAGGCAGACTGTAGAAGGGGGCACATCCAGGCAGTTTGTCTCAACCACCTCTGAGATCAGGATAACTCTGGGCAGTGACCAAGACTAAGCACAGTCACTTGGCAACCTTGAGGAAACCTTGCATTCTGCTTAGAGAGGGAATCAGTCATGCTGGGGCTCCCTCGTGTTCCAGCACAGGGGTCTGGCTCCACCTGATCAGACCATGACCTTCCCAATGTGTAACTTGACTGGAGAACTTTGAAGAGGTATGGCTTTCAACTACCCACCCAACACTGACTCTGACTCAAATAAGGTCAGAGGCCTTGCTGCCTTACAGGGTCATGGTCGGGGGCTAAGGAGCTGTGTGTCTCTGAAGGTACCACCACAGAACAGTGGGGACATCACGAGAAGACTGAGCTTTTGGTCTCGCACACAGAAAGCTTGACCAGGATTAAAATGCGGTCCACGCCCCAGTATCTTCGGGGCTTACCCTACTGTCCTTCCAAGGCCTAGGCATTGTCCCACCTCCTTCCAAGTACAGAGGCTGTCTCAGAACGGAGTCCTCTGCCACCCAGCTTCAAGGGCCTATTGAAGCATGACTTTCCTCGGTCCTTACAAACCTCACACAGTACAGCAGGTGTTATTACTTCAGTCTCTAGAGCAGGAACCCGAGACCTGCTAGGCCACACAGCCAGTGGTCTAAGGCTTCAGAGCTACCAAGTGGCAGAGGGGGCACTGGCTTCAGGGTCCTTGTATTTACTTGAGAGATGGTGACACCAGGGTATCACAGGAATCTGCCTGCTGAACAACTGTTTACGTTTTAAAAGTATAGCAGTGTACCGAACTTGGGTTTATGAACACCTCTCTTTGCTCACAAGTATTTAATGAGTGGCCACTAGAAGCCAGGCGTTGCTCTAAGCACTGATCAGTGAACAAGAGACGAAGACCTCATCGCCTTGGAAGGCGTAGTGACACTTGAGCACATGTGAGCATGCGGAAAGAGGACGCTTACCTTTCTGAGGTAGTTTAGGAAGTACTCTTGGGCCAAGGGCAGTCTTTGCAGAACTGGTGCTGATGAATAAAGAAGAATCACTTAGGATCTAAAAGATCTGTCATATCATTAGTAACATAAAGAAATCCACAACATTTACAGAATTACTTAAATAATCTTTTTTTTTTTAAGATTTATTTTTATTATTTTTTAATGGAAAGGCGGATATACAGAGAGGAGAGACAGAGAGGAAGATCTTCCGTCCCATGATTCACTCCCCAAGTGAGCGCAACGGCCGATACTATGCCAATCCGAAGCCAGGAGCCTCTTCCGGGTCTCCCATGCGGGTGCAGGGTCCCAAAGCTTTGGGCCGTCCTCGACTGCTTTCCCGGGCCACAGGCAGGGAGCTGGAAGGGAAGAGGGGCTGCCGGGATAGAACCGGTGCCCATATGGGATCCCGGGTGTGCAAGGCGAGGATCTTAACCAGTGCGCCACCGCGCCGGGCCCTACTTAAAGAATCTTTTCAGGGTTCGGTGTGATAGCCCAGCGGCTAGGGTCCTTGCCTTGCATGTACTGGATGAGGCTCTAATTCTAGCTGCTCCACTTCCCATCCAGCTCCCTGCTTGTGGCCTGTGAAAGCAGTTGAGGACAGCCCAAAGCCGTGGGACCCTGCACCTGCATGGGAGACCCAGAAGAAGCTCCTGGCTCCAGATCGGCTCTGCTCTGGCCACTTGTGGAATGAACCATTGGATGAAGATCTTTCTCCCTGCTTCTCCTTCTCTCTGTAAATTTGACTTTGCAATAAAAATAAATAAATCTAAAAAAAAATTTTCAAAATGGCTTTAATAAAATAATTTCTATCTTCCATATTTCTCCTCTGGGAAAAGAATGACAAAAGCAAAGCGTATTTATTAATGACAAAGCCAAAGTTTTCTCCTTTCCAGCTTTTCCCAGAGATTAACGTTTATGAAAATACTTACTGGCCCTGCCCAGAAGGAACTCCTCTCCCCCAACATCACAGGCAGCCCTCTGAGCCCGTTTTTAAGGCAGGGCAAGCACAAAGGGAGATGAGTGGCACTGGCTGACAGGTGGTCCAGGATGCTCAGTGGTGGCCATGCCAGCTCAGCCCTGGTGTGGGGATGGAGGGGGTGGAGGCCTCATTTCCTCCTCTGTGCCAAAGCCCAGTGCTGCTCCTGTGTTTTCAGGTCTCCAGCTCGCTAAGGCTGTGGCTGTCAGGCGTGTCCAGGAGTAGGGGAACAAACGCCCAAGCCCCAGGAAAGGAAGTCTTAGCACATGTGCGGTGTCTGCAAAGGTGGCAGCCATGGCACACTGCTCTTTCCCTTTAGCAGAAGCCAGGGGTAGTGCGCCCCTGAAAAGCAGTGGCAGCCAAGGTGTGTGATCCAGGTCCACTAAGAACCTTTTTAGTCTCTGGGTCTGCGCCCTTGGATGGCCTAAGTGCTGGCACTTATGACTACAGTTTGTATCTTAATTGGATTTAATGGAAAAAGACAAGGCCATGCCTACCATAGAAGCTGAAAAAAAAATAAAGGGGGGGTACGGAGATGCACGTGTTCCCCTCTCCTTTCCTGACCCTCCAAAGCTCACAGGGGTCTCTTTCAGAGCTCCCTGGGAATCCTCCCAGCCGTGGTGCCTGGAGGAAACCAGGCCTGTGGCGAAGCCCCTACATTACACTAGCAGCCAACAGGAGAGCGCCTGGCTTCTGGTGGCACAGCCGCAGCTTCTTCCCAGGGGAGCCAGTGAGTGTGAGCACGCCACCGGTGCTTGGTCACATCCTGCCGGCAAGGGCCTAGATTCAGAACTTCCCCGCACAGAAGGCTCTCAATCCATCAGTGTGCTCGCACTCAGGGCTTTGCCCATCTGCAGGGAACATAAGGCCACTGCTGCTGGTGGCACTGCATGTGCATGTACACGCGTGTGCCTGTGTGCAAGCCTGTGTGTGCGCAGGGGAAGGAAAACTCGACAAATCACCGAGTTCCTCCCAGCTTGCTCTCCTTTAACAACACGATACAGATGCCTTCTGTATCAGCCACTTGGCCCACTCTGGAAGCAGGTGGCCTGAACTTCAGCTGCAGGACTGAGGGAGGCCTGGAAGGCAGTATGCAGGGAGGAAGGGGAATGTGAGGAGGAGAGGACTGTGGCCCATAGAGCCACTCTATGGGCTTTCATTTCCTCATCTTGTAGGAGTCAGGATGACACGAACGGGTCTGCGTCCCGGGGCTGTATAGCTTACAGGAGACAGAGGCCACTAAAGGACACGAAGTTCTGATTTTCCATCTACAACAAACAGTGGAAAGCAACCCCTCTACACCAGCTGGCTTTGGGTCTGGAAGTGGCTTTCTGTGTCCTAATCTCAGGTCATGCCTCTAGAGAAAAACCCTTTGGTGTTTCTCAGAGCCCTTTGTAGAGTCCCGCAGGGACACACAGCTTTCCAGCCCAGCACAAAGCAAGTCTTCTGCCTGGGGAACCCAGGAAGGTTCAAACCTCCAGTGTTTGGAAATCTCTGGATTATCACGTCAGGCTTGCTCTGAGTATGTATTTTCATTCCCAAGTCTGCAGGAGTTGTAAGATTTCTGAAAACATCAAAACTAACCACAAGAATGCGTTCTGACAGGCACCTTGTGGAAGGAAACTGTATGACTCTGACCATCAGGGAGGTGGCAGGTGTCCCCTACCATGGCAAGGGGAGGTGGCAGGAGTCCCCTACCATGGCAAGGGTGGGGCTGTGCTGTCCTAACTCAGCTGTGAGCTGCGAACATAAGTTGAGCACCAATGCCTGCTTTCCCACAGCCAGCAGCCCATGCTTCGAGTCACACTGGCAGAGTCACCAATAGCCATGCCCTCTGCAGGCAAGAGCTTGACCTTGCAAGGGCTACTTACCTTGACTGCTGAGAGAGCCCTTCAAACTTGTTTGCAGTCTTACTTGAAGACGAGGAGCCCACATCATTTCCTACGAGGAAAACGACAGGTGAGAAGTTGCATTCGTGACACGGGATACATGGGTGTGACAATGAGACAGGCACTCCTCAGGTTCCAGGAAGCCCCTTAAAGCTCCACCTAGAACAGTGTTCATTTCTGGCATGTCAGCGCTGCTCTGGGCTTGCACAAGGCCTTCACTGCTGGAAGAGGAATGTGTCAAAGCAGCATGCAGCCTGGCAAGGCGGCTGAGAACTCAGGACCTGCTGCTGAATCACTGGCCCACACTGCTTATCCTTAGCCTGGGGAAAGAAAACCAGAAATGCTTCCAACTCACCCAGTGATTCTCATGTTGGGAGACCACCTTCTACCAACCAGTGAGAAACATGTAGTGATAACTGGTGACCTGCTGGCAAGGCTGCAGTCACTGACCCACTCACGCTTGAGCATGCGTGCTTCTTAAGCACCGTTATGTGTAAGGCATGACGTGGGGCAAGAGGCATAAAGCAAAGCGTCACTGCTCCTGCAGCTGAAGTTCTGCCTGGGAGACTTATAATTAACTCTACTGGCAATGTAACATTAAATGAATGCTGAGTCAGGTGAGTTGCTGTGAAAATGGAGTGGAAATAGCACACAATGTCCCTCGAGGACTTGACACCCAATCAGCTGAACATTGTAGCTGGGAGAACTGGGGGAACAGGAAAAGCAGAGGCAGATAAGTGTAAGGGCACCTTGTCCAGAGGCTCAAAGACTGCTTAGAGGAAAGTGGAGCTGTCTGCTGCCCACTCACAGCAGGGGGAATGCGGGGCACTGCTGCGGCCCCAAGGTGCTCAGCAGGGTCTGTGTGGGAATGGGCAGGGGCCTGCTTGGGCTCTAGTTCTTGCCCTTCCAGCAACTGCTCTGCAAACTCCAAGCATTCTCTTCTTTTGGCAGAAGAACTGTCCAGTGAGGAAGGGCTGGCTGAGCAGCTCAGAAACAGCAGAAGACAGGGCTGAGGAAAAGAACAGCACAAATCCTTCCACTACACAACATTTCTGCTCCACAGCACCAACAATGCAAGGTCCTCTGGTCCTCCTTCCTCACCACAGGCCAGCAGCCGAGACCGGCATCACTGCTCCCCGTCAAAGGACAAGGAAGCGAGTCTGGTGCATTAATGGCCACAGGTTCTACCAGCGAGAGATGCTGCGTCACAGATCTGTGTGTCCTGCGTGAAGGCCCGACGTCCCAGGCAGTAACACCGACTGCCATGTCAGCAAGAACTGTTTCCTGAGCTCTTCCCACAAAAAAGGTACTGTGCTCAGCAACTCAGAAGTCATCTCGTTCAGGAGTTAGGTAATAACCACTCGCACATGCTCTGTGAGTTTAAGATATTCTTCTATAACTTAGCCCCATCAGGTCGTAACTTAGTATCTGAGAACTCGGTTAAATTTTGTGAAATCCACTGAGCTGGGATGGCCTTTAAGGCAGCTATGTCTTCTATTCTTAAAATTGAGTCTTCAGAGCTGGAAATTAATTCTCATGCATTTAGACATAATTGAGCCCCAACAGCCAAAATATGTGGAGGAATAAGCTGTTGCATTTGTTGATTCCCTTCCCAGGTAGAACACACTGTCCCAACCGTGGCTGAGTGCAGCTGACACCAGTGAGGCTGCTGAAGCCCCCAGCTCTGCGTGGTCACTGTGATGCCACACAGAAGAGTCATCAGGCCAAGACGGTGTGGCTGCCCATCACCCACCGGCCCAGCTGTCCAGAGTCCTCACTGTCTGCCCTCCTATCTGCCTGCCTGGAGTGTCCATTCTCTAGAGACAATGTTCCCATGATCCTCTTACTGTGCCTTTTCGTTCCCTCAGTAACACTTTTCCCATTCATTCTTGGTGCATTCCTTTGCAACCTTCCATGAAGCTCTCCCAAGTCACTCCGAGAATTCTCCTCCTTCTTGAGAGGAGTGACTGAATGTGGATTTGGGAGCCAGCCCAGACTGGTTCTGATTCTCGCTGCAGTGACACTGAGCAATGAGCATGGCTTGGCGTCGCGGCTTCCTCTGCTAAGCTGCTCCCCCCTGCATCATGGCGTGAGTAACAGGAGCCACTACAACACACGCAGGGGGGCATTAACAAAGTACGCTGCGGGGTGGGATGTGGTGCTAACCCACAGAAAACAGGATGCAAATGGTACTCATCACTCATGGATCTTTGATGGAATCTAACAACATGGACTTCCTGAGCAAGTGGATACCTCAATGACATAGACCCTGCTCCTTCAGCTTTCTACTTCACTTCAAGCACAATGTTGGCACAGACCAGCGAGGAGGCCTTTGCTGAAGAAAGACCCACAGTGCCAATTAATCAGCTTCCCTGCCACAGTGTCAATCTTCACACTGGGGCGGTGGCGAGGTTGGCAGCATGGCAAACACAAATTCTACCAGGTCACCTGGTGGGCCTTGGAAGAAAAGCATGGCTTAGAAAAATTCCTGGAAATTGGGGTTAGTACCTTGACATGGTAGGCTAGGTCTCTGCCTTGTGGTGCCAGTGTTCATTATGGGCACTGCTGGTTCAATCCCTGGCTGATCTACTTCTGATGCAGGTTCCTGTTGGAGTGCCTGAGAGGGCTATGAAGGATGATCCAGGTACTTGGGTCCCTGAGCCCAGGCACAAGACTGGGAGGCACTAGCATCCTGGTGTCTGCATCTGGGGAGTGAATCAGTGGATGGAAGACCTCATTCCCTACCTTGCCTTCTCTCCAACTGTAAATGTGCCTTTCAAACAAAAATAAACAAATAGTTTTAAAAATCTGACACGATAATAAAAGAGGAGAATCCCATAGGAGCAGTTCAGTGTGTTTTCTCCCTGTGCAGCTTACATGAGGACTCTGGTGTGTCTCACAGATGTATGTTAGGACAGCTGGGACAGAGGCCAGGCAGGCAGTTGAACTGGAGGCTCAGACTCTTGCTCACTGATAATGCTCAGAGGATACAGGTCACCAGCCTGTGTGGAGAGAGTAGTGCCCTGGCTTGGCAGGTCCTGGGAGTCCTCTGCAACAGTGTCCATGGCTCTGCGGGTTGGAAGTGGGTTCAAGCCCCAGTTCTGAAGTTACTGGATTTGTGAGCCTCTGTTAGTTACTTGGCTTCTCTGTGTTTCCATTTTTTTCTTCAGACTGGGACAATAACAGTCATTATTTTATAGGATGGTTAATGAGGTTCAAATTTAAGTACCACAGGACCTAGTTCAGGGCAAGTAAGCTATACATGGGAGTAGACACCATAATACCCAGAACTGTGCGTGAAATAGGTTCAAGGTGAGGAGAGAAGCTGGCATGAAAATATGCTAGCAAATTGAAGAAAAAGACGTTTCTTCCCACAGGCTCCCTGGCAAGGCAATACTAATTCCTATAAGCTATGTACTAGCTGGTCATCTCAAACACTGGCTTATCTTCACCTGCAAGTTTTGGTCCTGAAATGCAAGAAGTAAACCCATTTCTGGTACAGTTTTTCCATCTACTAGGTGCTCTACATTGAACACAAATGTACCCCAGTGGCCAATGATAAAGAACAAAAAAGATTCCTAGAGGTGAATGACCAGGGATTGGTGGAATCCAGATTCAGAACCGAGCTTTCCAAAATGTTCACCTGTGTGTTACAGCCTCCCCAACAGTCACTGCAGACATTCCTCTGAAGACCAAAGGCCAACAGCAGTAGGAGCCTTAGGTCTAATCTGTGGTCCACTTTTGGCTACTGAACGTGACCTGACACGCATTTTGTACAGAGATAATAATGTCGGTTCATCTTTCTCTGCTACTTCTACTCTTCTGCTGTCCTCATTTCCTCAGCACTTAAACTGTATTAAATATGTTCATCAGTTATAAAGTAGGTTATAAAAAGCAGAGAAAGGTTTAATGAAATGAAATTTCAAAAGTCAGATGCCTATTCATTTTCTTATCAAAAGTCTGCCTCAGAAGTCTCCTGAGACAAATGGCTGCTCTCATCACAGAGAGGGGACTGCAGTAATGTGATACCTGTGCTATTTTGGGCACGAGGGACATTGGGATTCTGGTAGGGAAAAGCCTGCAGGGGCCATCCCTGCCTGGGCAGAGCTGGAGCTGCATGCACGGCGCCACGCTGCAGAAGGATGTGATGGAGTCGAGAGTGGAGACACTGCCTGCTGGGCTACGCAGAGAGCACAGTGGCACCGTCAGTGGAGCCAGGACCTGGTAGTCATGGCCAACAAATGAGCAGAGACCCAGAGGTGCCCAAGGAGACCAGAAACAGCAAAGTGGTGGGAGAGTGCACCAAGCGCACAAGCTTCCAACCTTGATAGGTGAACTTTCCTCCTTGCGGTGGATGCAAGAGGCTGCAGAGAGAAAATGACAGAGACAGAGAAGATGGAGAGAGGGGGAGGATGAGAAAGATCTTACTATGGTTCATCTTTCAAACGCTCTCTGTGACTTGCACTGAGAATTGCTAGGCGGCTTGCATGGATGGCAGAAACCCAACTGCACGAGTCAGCACCACTGCCTTGCAGGGTCTGCACTAGAAGGAGAGTGGGATCAGGAGTAGGGCTGGAATTGAATCCAGGCACTCATCGATACAGGATGTGAGCATGCCAGGTAGAGACTGCTTAACTGCTGTGTTAAGGCCGCAAATCCTTGGGACTTGTTCTAAGCAGCTGCAGGAAGCTGGTTTCTACCATCTAGCAAAATGCTAGGCAGAGTGTAAGAAGAAAATAGCTGACATTTACTGGGGACTTCTCCTTGGGTCCCATGCTTTAGTGTCCTTTTCCTTTAACCTTCATTCTAGGGGTTCTTCAGGTGCTAACACTAGCCCCATTTTTAGTTGAAAAAACTGTGATACTGAAAAATCTGGATACTTGCTGAAAGCTGCAGGGGTAGCTATCAGGTGGCACAGATGAGATTAGAACAAGGCCGTATGGCACTATGGACCACATCAGAGAGTATTTCGGGTGAGTTTTCTGGCTAGGAGGCTATGAAGCAGGCACAACAGGTGCAGGAACAGACCCACTGAGATGCCCTGCATGCCAGAGGAGGACAAAGTGTGAGTGGGATACATAATTTGGGACTGTGGGGTGTCTTCCAAGCAGGACCCAGGAGATGAGATCCTGAGGAACGAACGAGCACAAACAATGAATACAGAGGCTATTCCAGATTGAGGGCATCTGAACAACAATGATCAGATTTGGAGGAAAGAATGAGTCTGGGAATGTGCTTAACCTCAGTGTGGCAGCTATGCGCTACTCGGGGTGGGAGAGCCAAGAGCTGCTTCTCTACTGTTTCCAGATGCCTGCTGCATCTCCCAACCCTGCTTCCTGATAGTCCAAGAGCCCTCAGCATCACGGGCTGAGCAAAGGCCAGAGTTGCAGCGGAACAGAAAGGCAGTGGAATGATGGGCACAGATGGAAGCCACAGGCACCATGGAGAAATGTGGTTTGGAAAATGGCACGTACCTTCATGGGCAGCCCCTGGTTTGACTTCTGGGTCCCATGACAGAAAGAAACAGGGGTCAGGGTCACTGAGTAGTGATCACACAAGATAGACAAACAGACCCTTCCTCCTGAGCACTCTGTGTGTGTGCGTGCACATGCCTGTTACCACTTGTGCCTCTAAGTGTGCGTGTGTGTGTTTTTAAAGATTTATTTATTTTTATTGCAAAGTCAGATATACCAAGAGGAGAGACAGAGAGGAAGATCTTCCGTTTGACGATTCACTCCCCAATTGACCAAAACGATTAGAGCTGAGCCGATCCGAAGCCAGGAGCCAGAACCTCTTCCAGGAGTCTCCCACATAGGGCCATCCTCAACTGCTTTCCCAGGCCACAAGCAGGGAACTGGATAGGAAGAGGAGCTGCTGGAATTAGAACTGGTGCCCATATGGGATCCCAGCATGTTCAAGGCAAGAACTCCAGCCGCTAGGCCACCGTGCTGAGCCCTCTAAGTGTGTTTTAAGTGTATTACACACATGAATCACAGTGAAAAATCAGTGAAAAAAGTTCTGCATCCCATCAGCACAGGGAGAAGGAAAAGGCCAGGTACTAGTCATGCTTAGTGATGAGAAAGGAATCTAAAAAAATGATGAGGGCGCAACGTGGTGGCTTAGCAGCTATAGTCCTCGCCTTGAAAGCACCGGGATCCCAAACGGGCGCCGGTTCTAATCTTGGTGGCCCCACTTCCCATCCAGCTCCCTGCTTGTGGCCTGGGAAAGCAGTCGAGGATGGCCCAAAGAATTGGGACCCTGTACCCGCGGGGCAGACCTGCTTGAAGCTCCTGGCTCCTGATCGGCTCAGCTCCAGCCCTTGCAGCCACTTGGGGAATGAATCAATGAATGGAAGATCTTCCTATCTGCGTACGTTAGAAAAAAGAAATTGGGAAAATTTGAGGAATGCTTGAACTTATGTAAAGTGACTTATAGTTATCACATGAGATTTTTACATAGAAATAAAATCATTTAAACAAGAGGACAGTTTCATGAAATTTACAAATGCTAATTTGTGAACTGAGGTATGAAAACTTAAACAGGACAGGACTTTCAGTAGAATATTACTATGGATACAAAGACTCCTTTGACAGGATCTGGGGACTCCTCAAGGCTTAGGAATGTGGAGCGCACATGGCAGAGGCATTCCAGACTTTGGTGTGTACGTGCCCATGTGCCTCCATCATTACTGTCGTGGTGTTCCTCTTGCAGATGAATTCCTTAAAAGCCATCTCAAACACCTCCTCGGCGAGGCCTCCCTGAGCTTTCCTATCACTGGACACACTCTCAGGTTTTCTATGGTATTTACTTACCATGCTTGTCTGAGAGCAAACAGTACAGATTTTCAGTGTCCGGGTCTGACTGTTCTCCTCAGGTGGGCACCAGCTCTGTGAGTGTAAGCACTGAGAACGCCTGAGCACTCAACACAGGTGGTTTCCAACATGAGCTGATTCAACGAATGAACAGCTAAATTCTCCGATACATCTTCCCATGCGTACATCCACCCACCCACACCCATGCTATGGCATTTGGACCAGATGGTGGACAGGTGTGCCAATCTGCAAGTGGACATTATGTTTTTTTTTTCCCTCCAAAAATTCAGAACAGTTGGCAGAGGCTTTTTGGAGGCCTTTACAAGCATTTAGCTGAATTACTTATCAGTATGTTAAGCACAATGAAACAGGAAAAAAAAAATCCTGCGGTGAAACTCATTGGCAGGAATTGATGAGCCATGCAAAACAGCACATTGTTTCATCAACGATTCCAGGAACATTAGTTGTGATAGGGTGACCCAGGAACTGCTGACAGCTAGCAGTAAAGATGGAAATTATGCTCCTTGCAGGTAGAAATGAGCCATTTGTGATCAATGTCATGGAAGCGACTAGCTGACTCTTGGTAACTTAACTTATTCACAAATGTTTACTGAACATCCACTGTGTGCTGGGCACAATTCCAGGCTCTGCAAACACATGCTAGAACAAGACAGACAAAGTTCCTGCTGTCAGAGCACTTCCATCCCAGTGGGAAGAGACACAGTAACCAAATACCTTCTCGGTGGGGACAAGAGGCCTGGGAGGAAATGGGTGTGAAGGTGAGTAAGGAAGAGAGAAAGCGGTGGGCCAGGGAGACAAACATCCACATAGACACAGGAAGGATAAAAGGGAAGCAGGTTTTCATTGTATTCCACCAAGTGGAAGGTCCTCAGGAGAGAGACAGGAGGGGGTACCCACGAAATGAGGCAAGATCAGTGGGGACAGCGTAGCAGCATCAGAGGGGATGGGGGCCAAGGCCTTGATCGCACAGGCTCCTGTACCGGTCACCTGGCTCCTGGAGGCTACCCAGGCTCCGGCAGGCCACAGTAGACACTCAATGGGATGGCTTTCATGGGTGTTTGGGAGAGAAGGGTAACCATGACCTTTTATAAGATCTTCTGGCTGTTGCAAGAATGGATCACTCTGCTCTTCTGAGCCTGTGTCCTTATTGGTAAATAAGACTGACAACATCCACCACAGATTTGCTTTTCTGACTGAATGAGATTTAGGGAAGTCCAGCACCTTACAAACTGTGGATAGCTTTCAATGGCTCTAAATACAGTTCACATCGTTTCTTGGGCCTTCAGAGGCAGTCTAATTACAAGCATCAGAGTCCTCATCCAAGATGTGTGTGGTCTGCCTCATTTCCTGCATGTACTGCTATCCACTGCCCAGTGGAGTCCCATGCACTGCCTGGCCCTGGGCAGCTTTGGCCCTGACTTTGGGTAACTTACCCCAAGGAACTGCGCCTTTGTTTGGGGGCCCATGAGGTAGTGGGCTGGGAGGGTCAGACAAGGTTCTCTTGTGTCCGGGTGGTGGGGGAGGAGGCCTCTTCTTGGATAGGGTGGAGCTGCCACTAGAGGTCTGGGTGCTTAGAGGGAGTGTTGAAGGTGGGCCAGTTGGACCTAGAAGGAAATTGAATGGGGGCAGCAAGGTTAATCCCAGTGTCAGACACAGAACAACCAGCACGCAATCACTTCCAGACATTAAAATGTGGTACAACACACAGAAACAAATGTCAACGTCTGGACAAGGCCAAGTCCATCAATCCGACAGCTCACAAATACGAGGTTTGAAGAAAATGTTGGCTTAAAAAAAAAAAAGGCAAATTACAATGAGGGGAATTTGAGTGTGTGCTTGGACAAGACAAAATGCTGGTCAACACAGAATGCTAATGGGTTTAGATCATCACTTAAGTACAATGGGGAAAAAGAAAACACATACACATTTTAAGCTGACAACTCACTGGAATCATCACAAAATCTACTGAGGAAGGAGCCTCACAGCAGTACCAGCACAACCAAGAGAGAAAGAGCAGAGCACTGAACAAGCTACACCTCCCACGGCCACAGCTTGGGGCAGGCAAAGGTTCACATAATAGGACTTTTCTCTCCACAACTCTTTGAATAAACTGCCTGAAGTTTTTCTAAAATGAAAAAACAAAAACTTTTCTAAATAGTGAAGGACCTAATGTGAAGAGTTACCTGTAAAGAAAGGAAAAATCCAAAAATTGTTTTGCAGTACTAAATTATTCTAAAAATCATAAACCACCTATTGCATAGGAAGCCTTGACAAATTATAGAAATTAGACATTTATTTCTCTGTATATTTTTTGAAGGATTCAACTTCCGCCAGGAACTAAGACCAGATAGCAGTAATGATAGTGATATTTCACATGCACACACAAAAAACATTACTGCAAAAGTTGACATTTTGAATTTAAGAAATCAAAAACAAAACAAAAACCTGAATCTTGTTTGTAAAAGCAGCCATGGGAGTAGCACATGTGTTCTAAGGGCTTTTTTTTTTTTTTGGTCTTCCCATTTGAAGTGACACTACAGCGGTCAAACATGCTACTGGGCACACTGAAAAGCATTTCTTTATGGAATATTGGACCAGGGGTATGTTGGCACCAGATTTGTGGACAATTTGCTTCTGCAAACATTTAGGGAGTGGGGAAGAAAAAGGGAAAGAAACAAACAAAAAGCTAAGGACACTGCCACACCCAATGTTTAACACTGAATAGTAGATACCTGATGTTCCAGAAAGACTCCAAAAGAGCCTTCTACGTTCTGTGTATTAAAAGAAAAGCTCAATTACTGCTGGCCTCCTTCCTGGGCGACATCAGCTTCCACTGTTAATTGCTGCCAACACTGACCGAAACCATTATTTCTCAAAGACAGGTTAGTCTTGGCAATAAATACTGTTAGTTTTACTAGAAACACACTCCACTTTAGGATTAAGGGAGTACTGGCATATAAGTTGTTGTTTGTCCTCCTGACATGACACATGATGAAAGCCTATGCAATTCAAGGCACTGAAGCGATTCTTCTTTTCCTAACAATAAAATGATTGTTCCTATGGCCTTGCTTTTGTGTAAGGCATTTGCACATGTTATTCCTCTTAGCTTTCCCTACCACTCTAGGACTTCTGTGGGCTTGGGTATTATCGTCCCTACTTTAGAACCAAGAAAGAGGCGGCTTGGCGTGATCAAGGTATCAGTGTGCAAGGACACAAGTGGGACAAGACAGGTGTCTCTAAAACATTTCAGGATAGTCATCCCAGCAAATGGTGATGCTCATTCCTCAAAGCCAGAGCAGTGTTTTCTGCACTTGGCACCCAAGAAGATGAAAAGGACAACAAACGTTCAGTTTCAGGAAGTGTAACTTTCCCCCTGGAAATACATGGATAATAGATAATAGACAATGGGGAGATTCTCTTGCGAGTCCGTCTTTATCGCCACCTAGGGACTTTCTGATGCAGCGCACCTGTCTGGAAACACTGCCAAGAGGCCCAGTGTGGTAGCCTAGCTGAACTCCTCACCTTATACACGCAGGGGCCTATCTTAATCCTGGTGGCTCCACTTCCCTTCCAGCTCTCTGCTTGTGGCCTGGAAAAGCAGCAGAGGACGGTTCAAGGCCTTGGGACCCTGCACCCGCGTAGAGACCCAGGAAAGGCTCCTGGCTCTGGATTGGCTCCGCTCTGGCTGTTGCAGCTGCTTGGGGAGTGAATCATTGGATGCAAGATCTTCCTGTCTCTCCTCCTGTCTGTATATCTGACTTTCTGATAAAAATGAAATAAATCTTTAAAATTTGCGAAAGGCAACATGCACAAAACAAGATGTGCTTGTGGCCTCAGGGATGTTGAGGCCATGGATTCCGAAGCCAGCCTCCTGCATCACTTCAAAGATGCAGGGTTAGTGCTACACATCTGCTTTCCCGGCTGTCACTGAGGACAGGCTTGTGTGTGTTCCCGCCTGACTCCCCGACTACACTGAAACTCCCAACTTTTCTCTGGCCCAAGGTATAGTAAGCATTTACCGTGACAGGAACAAATAAACTTCTACCTCACAATAAACCACTGCTTATTTATTCGGGGGGTGCAGGGAGAGAAGGGAGAAAGAGAGTACGGGAAGGAGGGATTGAGATGCAGTTTCCAACTTGCTGGCTTATTCCCAAATCCTTGCAAAGCTGGTAGCCAGAAATTCAGGCAAGTCTTCCCTAAGGGTAGTGGGGACTCGGGTACTCAATCACCACCACTGCCTTGCAGGGTCTGTATTAACAGGAACCCAAACTGGGGATCGAACTCAGGCACTGTGATATGGGATACTGGTGTCGTAATAGGTCAAATACCCGCCTCGACTTATACTGTACAGGCTAATGATTTCCAAGAAAGGCAGTGTATCTCCATTGATGAATCAAAGTCTGGGGAGGGGAGACAGCTGGAAGGAAGAGTGTTGAGCTGGAAAAGGAGTAGTCAATATTATAAAAGTAATTTTGCATTTGGCAAATACACACACGTACCTACTTTACTGAACAGAAGCTACAAAGATGCCACAGAATCTTCATTGGCAGGACATGAATTAAGGCTGAAAAATGCATTATGTCTCAGAAAAGCAGACTTATTTACTAAGATTTAAAGAGTTTAGAAAATTCGTGAAATTGGTAGCCATTCCTTAAAGCACTAGAGAGGGCATGTTTTATGGCAAACAAAGCTAAGCGCTGGCTCAGCCAGGAGGAAGCAGTTCTGGAGAATGGTAGCAGGCAGGACAGGTCAACAGGGAAGCACACACAGAGGTGACTTGCCCTCGCTCCACACGCCTGGGCCCAGTGATTCAGCTGCAACTGTCTTTGACATTTTTCCCTGTTCACTAAAGCAACCTTATGGGAAAACAATGTATGTGCAGACTACAGAGGAGTATGGGAAAATGTCACCGAACAGAATCAAGATCTCTCTTTATTCAGCCCCCAAAAATGATTGTTCTGGAGAATGATTCACTTGCATCTAAATATAACCCCAAACATCCACTCCTTAAATCCTAACCAGTATGCTATTCAGCTCTCCCTCTTGCCCTGGATTTTCTAGAGCTAGAGCTGCCAATGACTGAGCATCACAGTCCTGTCCCAAACTGAAGGAATGTTTAAACACATCCTCTGCAGATTTACCTGGTAAAATACTATGACTATCATCATGATCTAAGCCTCAGGGCCCAGAAAGAGGTGAGAAACCTGGCCCATCACAGGGAGAGAGTGCCCGAGTCCGGCTGACCCCCTCTACTGTTGGCTCAAGGCTGCTTTGCTTTCTCAGCATGGATCACGTCCTCTCTGTTGAGAACATTCAGAGCCGTAGCTGAGCTCTCTCTCCACCACAGCCTCATGCAGAACCCATCTGTGCCCTGCTTCCCCCTCCTGGGGCTCAGCCCTGCCCAGGCGCCACAGCATGAGATGCCCTCTTCCTCACAGCAGAGTTGATGCTGCCTTTGATTCTGCACCTGCTGGTGCCAGTGCCCAGCACATTCTGGGCACTTAGTGCACTTCCAGAGAGATAACTCACTGCCTAAGTCACGAGGCATGTTTTCAATGTTCTTGTACACCAATGAAGGAGAAAACCCAGAGAAACACAGCTTTGAAACCATAAGTGGGAAAAAGAGCAAGATCTGGAAGACGGTTTGGAAAATTATCTTGAGCCTCACATTTCAAAGGAACAACAACAAAAAAGATCTGCAAGATAGCTTGAAAAATTATCTTAACAGTTTTTGCAAAACTTGTCCAATTTATATATTCTAACCTGCCATACAAGCTACGTCTGAAAAACCGTAGGCAATACAAATGAAAATTTTAATCACAATTGCCTAACGGATTTCTTTCCATGTGTATTTTTAACTAACAAAAATTGTACAGATTCGTTGGGTAAAACATCTGAAATATGTACATACATTGTGCAATGACTAAATTAAACTAATGAAAAATATGAATTTCCTTACCTGCTTTTCTCTTTTCATGTGGTGTGGATGCTTATCACCTAACCGTCGGCAGTTTTCAGGAGTGTTGTATGCTAATAATGACAGTGGCACCACGCTGTACAATACAGCACTTGCACTAAGTCTTGCTGCCTGACTGACTCACAGGCTTGTACAGTACACAGCTTGAGGGAGTGGAAAGTGTGCAAATTGCCTTAAAAAGCACACGAAGACACAGCACTGGATAGTTATAGAGAAGGACTGAGTGTCAAAGGAAGGAAGGAAGTGCCGGTATTTCCATAGAAGGGGAAAGAGAGGCACACTGAGCTGGAGTGGAGTGGGCTGAACACTGCTGTGGTCAGCACAGGCTGGCTGGCCCCCGTCTGCAGCAGTGCTATGGCTGGCCACTTTCATCTGTCTTTAGATCTCCTTCTATGCCAACTGGAGGTATCACAGTCAAGAGGCTCAGCTTGGGCTCTTTAACTCACACACCCTGTGCTCTCCCTTTCCACATGCTGGTGGCCAGGCAGTCTAGCTAGAGAGCCTGAACCTGGTCACTTCTGAGCAAAAGTCGCAGATGATACTCCGGGCCAGGCTTAGGGGTTGCATGTGCAATGCCTGAAAAAAGACTGAGGGAAACTGATTTTAAAAAAAGCCAAATCTACAAAAACTTCCTATAATAAAATATAAATCCGACATGGACCCAGGCCAACAGCTGGTGCCACAGCTGTACACTGAGTCACAGAATGGCTGAGAAAACCCCAGGATACCATGAAGTCACACCACATGAACACTGCTGACAGGAAAGCACTGCCCAAGTGAGTCTGAGTCCTTTCCGAGTGCCTCTCCCTGGTGGCAGGACACCGCTCCTCCTCTACAGTCTCCTTTCTGTCCTTTTCAGTTACCCCATGGCTTCCCAGCAGAGCAGGAGTAAAGGTGTTTGAGATGTGTATGCAGCTGTGTTTGGGCAGTAACTGGGCAAACACTCAGTAGAGACTTTTTGAGCAAGCCTATACACTGTTACATCCTGGGGCATCCAGTGTAGTTTTTTGAGTGCCCCCTCATGACTTGGTCACCTAGTTCTGGGACATGCTCTCATGGATCCTTTCCATTGTTTACGTTTCTGACGGGCAACAACGAGCACCCTGCCCACAGTGCCATGGATGTCCACACAGCTCTTCATGGCCCTTGCTCTTAAGAGCTGTCTTGGAGCTGGGAGGGAGTGGCATGCAGCTCCCCTGAGCTCCTCAGAGCTGCAAGCTGAGCCTGCTCTGTGCATTCTGTCAGCCAAGTGGCACAGCCACTGTGTCCTCTCCTCATGCCGAGCCAGCTCTCTTACGGGCGACCTTTCCACTGGTCTATGTATTCCCAAGACCTGGAGTCTTTGCTGAAACGGATACGTGCAGAGGCATCACACAAACTTGTGTTTGTTGACTGTTTGCTATGCATCAGTCACCTCACAAACATTATTTCGCCACTTCTAAGTGAAGTACACACTCAATCTTTGTGTTCAGATAATGATCCTTAAACTCAGCAAAATCAGCTAAATGTTAAAATGAGACAAGTATAGGGGCTGTATTAGCCCATAGGCATATGCAATCATAGCCTTTCTTGGGGGACCAGGCGAAGCTCCTTGGGAGGAGATAACTGTGAAGCTTAAGCAGTTTTACCTGGGATCCCCATTGCCTAAAGAACCACTGTTGGCTTCGACACAGACTGATCTTAGCTTATTATTCTCAAATTATACTCTGATTAGTGCAGTCAGTCACTTCACTGAGACTTACAGCAAGGGTAGCATGTGGTTGGACATTCTGCAAGGCACCGAGCCTTCAAGTACCCACTGAGAACACCAGGCGTTATGCTGCTCTGTGCAAACTGTCTACTAGGTTTATCAGACCAGAGTCAGAGCCTGTTTGAGGAAGGAAGTCAACAGGTACAGGTCTGGGCATACCATTCAGAGGGGCTATATTACGTCTGAGTCCAGGGTCCTGATTTCATGAATAGATGAGAATAACTTGTAAATGGTGTATCAGTCATTTGTATAGTCAGAAGCATGCAAAATTAGTTCTTTTAAATACACTGAACCAGCTTGTTGGAATTAGATTTATCATTCATTTACCCAGCAAATTCTTCAGCTGAGTAAGGGACCTACCAAGGGCTGGGTCTCGCTATTTACAGCTCTTGCGAATTCAGCAGTCCTGGGTGACCCTACTCTAGCCCCTGCTTCCAAAGGATTTGTTTTTAAAAGCTGGGAAGTTGCAGTGCAATCAATGTCAGCAGTAGTTATCTCCAGGAACACTACAACATAGATGCTAGTGAAACCTTTCTCATTTAATCCCCACAAAAATTACACGTGAACTAGTGACTCCATGTCAGGTATAAATTTTTGAAGATCTGCAATGGGGCAAAAATCACAGTTTGTAGGTTAACATTATTTAGAAACAGTGAAATCAAACGACGTGACCAACCATAAACATTGTTTTTAAGCATCAGTTTTGTGGAAGAAGTATTATAGCATTGTGTGGTCCACCACATTCCAGAAATATCTAGTCACTAAGCCTAAAAATTCTCAAATAAGTCTCTTATAATAGGACATGGGAAAATGTGAATGATGGAAAAAATAGCATGGGTTTCAAAATCTTTTTTGCACCTAAACAAACTTCTAATTCTGTTCCGCATAACATTTTTAACACCCGCTCACACAGCTTGTTAGATCCTTAAGACAGTTCCATAAGGCAGGCAACCTAGAGATGTGCCATCTTTATCAAAATGGAAAAGCAGACACTGGATGTCACCTGACAAGCCTGAAGGCCTGTTTCATCATCCCATGTGTCCTGAAGAAAGCTCCCTTGCCCTTCTGGGGCTCAGTTTCCCTATTTTGTTTCTTAAAGATTTATTTATTTATTGGAAAGTTAGATATACAGAGAGGAAGATCTTCCGTCCGATGATTCACTCCCCAAGTGAGCACAATGGCTGAAGCTATGCCGATCCTAAGCCAGGATCCAGGAACTTCTTCCAGGTCTCCCACGCGGGTGCAGGGTCCCAAGGCTTTGGACCGTCCTCCACTGCTTTCCCAGGCCACAAGCAGGGAGCTAAATGGGAAGCAGGGCCGCTGGGATTAGAACTGGCGCCTATATGGGATCCCGGCGCGTTCGAGGTGAGGACTTTAGCCACTAGGCCATGCCGCCGGGCCCTCAGTTTCCCTATTTATAATGTACTATAAGCTGTTAGTCTTTTCAATATTCTTCCAAGAAAGAAAAAAAAAATCTGAGATCCATAACGTTATTTTTACCTTTAAGATAAAAAACTGATCTTGGCCAGTTTGAAGAATTTCTAGTGTTAATAAATACAAAGAAGGGGCTGGAGGACTGGCACTACAGCAAAGCAGACTGAGATGATGCCTGTGATGCTGGCATTCCATATGGACAGGTGTGTGTCCCACTATTCCACTTGTGATCCAGCTCCTGGCTAATGTGCCTGGGAAGGCAGTGGAATATGACCTAAGTGCTTGGGTATTTGAACCCGCTGAGAAATCAGGAGGAGACTCCTGGCTTCTGGCTTCAGGCTGGCCCAATCCTGGCTGTTGCCACTATTTGGGAAGTGAACCAGCAGATAGATCTCTTTATTTCTCTGTAACTGAGTTTCAAATCAATCAATCAATCAATCAATCAATCTTAAGGGGGAAAAAAAAAAGCAGGCTGGGGACAAGGCAGCTACGTGTGCCACTTGCACTAATTTCAGAGCTTTGATTTAATCTCTCTGGATTGCCCATCTGAAGAAGTGTTAGGCAGCAAAATGTTTTTGTAGAGGCTAGAGGATGGTGAATTTTGGATTTTGAATTGCTGGATTCTTCTGAGACTGACTGGTGTGGGACACTCAGGCACAAGGGGGCTTTGCTTGGCAGTCATTTAGGTCAAAACTTCCTGAATTTTGATAAGGCAGCTGGGGTTTCTTAAAAATACTTTCGCCTGGGCTGGGTCAGAAGAATTCTTCCTACTGTTTGTTGGGGAGACATGGCAGCCGGAAGCTGCCATGCTGCAGAGCCTGAGATCCAGTTGTGGAAACGACTCCTGCCACTAATGAAAGCCCTCTGCTTATCTTGCCCTGGAGAAGGAGCAGCCCGGAGGACAGATTCAACACAGCCTTGTTTTCATGCAAATGGTCCTACCAGTGAACAGGACAGAATGAAAAAAAGAGCAGGGACCACAAAACAGAGAAGAATTATCTCTGCACACAGCATCAGCTGACCTTTAACAATGTCTTCTAAGAGCTCCATTCTAAACATTATCAGTGTTTCCAATGTAAGGCCTTGGGAGCTGCACTAGATCTTACATTTCAAATCTCCTAAGGAAATCCTGGGGAGGCTGTGTCCCTTACGCCTCCCTGGTGGACAGGCGACTCTGCAAATCTGATGTCCAGCTATGAACAGCCAAAAGAACCCTCTCATTTTTATAGGGAAGATTTTTTTTGTTTTGTTTTTTTGGCAGGAGGAGTGGGCAGAGCAGTCTATCCTTAGCTGACCACAGTTGCTATGGCCAAGTCTCTCAGCACTTGTTGCAGCAGCTGGGTTACTAAATAAATTTAGTCTTTGTATGCTGGGACTTGGGTAAAGAGCTGGTCAGAATTTATTTAAGGCAGGAGAGAGGCACTTGGCACGGGGTCAGATAGAGAATTTTATGAGTTTCTGTGGCCTCTCAAGATAAAGTTACAGCTGAGGGTGATGGGAGGTGAGGGGGTCCCTTGGCCTGAGAACCACTATCAAGAGTCTCAGTGGGAATGGAGGGTCTCAGCAGGTGCAGGCCACGTCTGTCAGGACGCTGGTGGCCACAGTCACGGAACACGGGACATCGCAGCTACTCCTTCCGCCATCTTCTTGGCCTGAGGGTCTTGCACTGCTCTTGGGACGGGGGTTCTCCCAACCTAGCGGGGAGCTCCATCACAACTCTGCTGTACTACGCCTGTGCAGCAGTGCAGTACAGCATCACAGAGGCAATGGGAAGAAGACGCCAGTGGGTAAGACCTTGGGATTATATGTGCGCTACTGCCAAGGTCACTTTTTATCTTCAAAGAGAGCTGTTCACGCCAAAGTCTTATTTTAACTTTTCTCAATTTCTCCATTGCTTGTGATCTATGGGGACATTTGGGGTCTCCTCTCTAAGAACACAGCTCCCATTGATAACACCATTTCAATGGAGAATCAGTTCTGATAAAACACTGTTCTGAATAAAGCTTACATTTCTCAGAAAATAGCCCCAGTGTGACTCACATAGGCACAGCATTGTATGGGAGAGACGCCTGAAACCTGTGGTGGGCCTGAACTGAGCACACATGCCGAACCGGCTCGGGTTCACTGGCAAAGCCACAGTTCCGGCTACCTGTCAATTATCTGCCTGGCTAGTGTGACCTTTAATGTTTTCATTTATGTGCCTCCATGTGACCCTGTAGAGAGGTGGGAGCCCACCGCTTTTGTGAGCTGTGGACAGGGCATAAATGACAAGAAAGAAGGTGCAGGGTAAATGCCTGTTAGTCTGAAGTACTAGCCCCACAAAACACACACAGCCTAAACACCCTCTTTGGCTAAGTCTTCCCCAGGCAGTACCTCACGGAGGAGCAATCTTCATTACAGAGTACAGAAATGGGCACACTGTTCACAAAAAACCTGGATTGTAATCCCAGTAACAGACAACTTTAGGCAGGTTATTCTGCCCGCTCTCTAAACCACAGTCCTCTTCTATGCTCGATGCCAGGAAGTACAATACCCCTCACATTTTGAGACTATTTAATCGGCAACATCTCATTTAAGTGCGTTATAGCTATTAACTGCTGCTAGCAATACAACAATCCTCCTCAGGGAGAGATATGTAAGTGCAGACAACTTTTTTTTTTTTTAAACCAGCACTAAAATTTCACCCTATATTATTAAAACTATGGAAGTGGCACCAACCTGGAGCCATACAGACACTGGGCTGAATCTCAATCCTACACACTAGCTTCGTGACCTTGGCCAAGTCACTTTACCTTTTGGAACTTAGTTTCCCCTTCTGCAAAGAGGTTCTGTTGTGAGGTTAACACAAGATGATGCATCAAGAGTGCTCACGTACACCGGGTCCTTCTGCTGGTTTGTGACAAATAGCAAGGTCCCTATTTCAAGCTGTATTGAATACACCAGGCAGTCCTTACCTCAAAGCTGGGCAGACCACCAGCTCTGAGGATGGAGCCCTAAAGCTCTCGAAGCCCGTACCTTTCCCGGCGTTTCTGGGAGGCAGAGGGGGCGCCTCTGCAGTTGGTGATGTGGGCGAGTCTGTGCTCGTGGACATGAAGATCTGGTTGGTGAAGGCTCCGTAGGAGAGCCGCTGTTTGTCCCGTGGAGTGCTGAAGCCAGGCAGTGTCAGCTTGTCCTGTGGGGAGAGGCTGGAGGAGTGGCAGAAGCTCTGCGGCCTGGGCGAGCGCTCCTTCTTGACAGGACTTGGCTGGCAGAGATAAGAGTGGGTGACATAATAACCAAGGGGTGCCTAAGGCTTAGCAGCGACTTCTGCAGGGAGGGGTCAGGCGGTCACCCGGACTCTGTGGCTCTCTGTGCTGTATGAGGTCGGCCACTGCCCGTCATTACTAGCAATCACACTGTTCAAACATGGGTTGGGGATCTGCAGCAGTGCTCAAAAGCACAGTACAAGGTCATAGATGCAACCTCTAATTAGCAGGCAGTTTTTCCTGCACAATTTCATCAATATTTGAGCAGTTCAAGCATTTCATATTTAAGTTCTCAATCTTCACCTCTCTCCTCATTTCATATCCTCTTAGACATAGCTCACCCAAGGCTTGACTGTCACCTACACTCTGAGGCCTCACAGATCTATGAATTCAACCCAACCCCTTGGATTCCAAGATATTCTGAATAGCCTGTGAGGTGTTGCTGGGGTGAGCACATGTTGCGATGGCATCAGTACCAGGTCACCTGGCCAACTTAGAAACTGCAGGGTCAGCTGGAGCTCCTGGGCCCTGGGCAGATCCCCTGCAGATGTCTCTCAGGCCCAGCCCTAAGGCAGGCGCTCAGGGATCCCATTGCAGCACTTGTTGTCTGGGCCTGTTTCCCATACAGCCAGAGCTAGCGGACACTGGCTCCTCTCTTGGGTTCTGACAGACTGGACAGAAGCCAAGAGGCTCCAACAGGCCCACCAAGCCCTTCTTGAGCTGTCCTGTCGGATTTCGTGGGCCAGCCTCCTGCCTCCCCTCCGCCAGTCAGCCAGCCAGGCGAATGCATCTCCCACTGGCACCTCTCTCCCCTGTCCTCAGATAGGCAGGATATACTGTCACCCCTGGTCTGGGCATGTGCTGCTCCTGCTCCCTACAAGATGGATTCTTCCCCACGTCTTTGGCAAAGAAACTTCCCTCTGACTTTGGTTTCTCGATAAGGTCTCTTAAAAGTAGTGAATCTTTTTAGAACCTTCTCATCTGACCATTCCTTATATCCTACACAGAGGAACTGCCCAATATATACTTATTAAAGACATCTTTAAGACAGGGTTAAGAACTGCTTATGGAGACCTGGGTTTGCTCCCCAGGACTGTCTCTGGTGGCTATCACTCTCCAGGTAAGCTGCTAAGCCAGCTCTTACTGTATGTTAACTTCTGTCTTCTGTAGAATGGGAACAACAGCAATGCCCCTTACAGCTTATAGTGAAGATGAGCTGAGACAGCACAAGTGGCTAGTCCACACTTAGTACCCAGTAAGCGATCTCAACGAATGATTTACTTTGAAGGTCAGTCTTACACATCACGCATCAACTTAGCTAGGCTATAGGGTCCAAGTGTGTGGTCCATCACCACCCTGATCACGCTGAAAGGCAGTTTTCAGATGCAATTGCTACTATGTTTTGAGTCAAGAGAACTCACCCCAACTTAAGTAGGCCTCATACAGTTAGTTGGGGGGTTTGAGAAAAAAAAAAATGGAAAATTTCAAAGAGGAGCCAGATTAGCTGAGACTGGGATTATCAGACTCCACCACTGTGGCAATTCCTTAAAAACAAAATTTCTCTATCCTACGAGTTGTTTCTTTGGACAGTCCTGGGTAACAGCTGCTATTGGGTAGCCAACAAGGACTAAAGAAAGACTCAGCAGTGAAAACAGTCCTGATACCAAAATCACTCACCCCAGCCCCTCTCTCCTCCCGCAAAGGATCTTTAGCCCGGAGTGCAGAACAACCAGGGGGCGATCATTTCCACTCACTTTGTCGTCCAGATCGTCATCACTTTCATCCATCTCCTCCTGTCGAAGATTCCATTCATACTCCACATGGACGTGTGGATTGATTTTTCCAGACTTAGCCTGGAAAAGCTGCAAGTAATAGCAGGTATACATCGTTTAAATGCCAGAACACCTCAAAATGATCAAACCCAGTGCAAACCCTCCTGCAGTATTCTTGATTTTTAATGAATCATCGGTAGCTGCACTGTAGGCAAACACTGACCAGACCAGTTGAATGGCTACACACTCAGGCTAAGAGTAACTGCAAAGAACTACACGCACAGACTTCTTCATTTTAATAACTTTATTCTGATTTCCCTCCAAAAATAAAGTGTTTCTTATAATTTTTAAAATGGGCCTGAGCACTACAGATCTGTGGCTGGAAAACAAATTACACCATTGAAGAGGCAGGCCTTTAACAGCAAGGGCAACTGTCTCAAAAGATTCTTTCTTATGTTTCAAAATATTTATTTATTCGAAAAGCAGAGTTACGCAGATACAGCTAACTAGACAGACATCAATGATTCATTCTCTAAAAGGCCCAAAGCTAGGAGCCAGGAGTTTCATCTTGGTCTTTCATGTGGGTACAGGCATCTAAGAACTTGGGCTGCTTCTCCTAGGTGCATTAGCGCGGACAGGGACTGGAAGTGGAGCAGCTTGAACCTGAATCAGTGCCCTCTGTGATGCCAACATCACAGGTGGTGGCTTAACCTGATACACCACAATGCTGGCCCCATAAAGGATTCTTTTAAGATTAAAAAAGTGGGGTGAATATTGCAGTACAGTGAGGCAAGGTGCTCCTTGGGAACCTGCATCCCATCTTAGAGTGCTGATGTTGGAATGTCCACTGCCCTGCCCCTGATCTGGCTTGTGGCTACTGGGCCTGGGAAGCAGCAGACAGCAGCTACAGCTCTGCCACTCTTGAGGAACAGAGTCTGTCCAGCCCTGCTTCTTGTCATCATTTGGGAGGTGTACCAGTAGATGCAAGATCGATCTCTTTCTTTGTCACTCTGTTTTTAGATTACATATATTTTATAAGCACAATCTTCAGGCCTGGAACTAGGCACTCAGCAGAAACTCAAAGAAATCTAACTTCTCTTTCCTATCCTGCCCTTTCTGTGGTTGGGAGAATCACACAGTCACAAAGCAAGAGTCTACATGGTCACAAACAGAAGTATGCATGACAGGATGGGGGCTGGATAGGACAGCAGTTTGTTGAACACTGTATGAACTGACATCTAATTATAAACACATATTGACAGGGCGCAATGTGGTGTTTGACACATGTGTACATTATCTGACAATCAAATTAGAATACTTAGCATGTCATTTCAGACATCTACCATGTCTCGGTGGTGGTAACATTAAGGATTCTCTCCTAGCTGTTCTGTAACATACTCTACTGTACACAAAAATCATCCTGCTATGAAACAAAACAACAAACCTTGCTCCTCCAACCTAATACTCATGGACTAACCTCTCCCCATTTTCCACAGCCCTCGTATTCTGGTAATCACTGCTCTACTCCCAGTTTCTATGAGATTGACTTAAAAAAGTTAAAAAAAAAAAAAAGCTAAAAAGCGCCTGGTGCAGTAACCTATTGGCTGGGGTCCATGCCTTGCATGCACCAGGATCCCATGTAGGTGCCAGTTTGTGCCCTGCCTGCTCCATTTCCCTTCGAGCTCACTGCTTGTGCCTGGGAAGGCAGTTGAGGATGGCCCAGCAGGTTGGGAGTCTGCACCTGCATGAGAGGCACGGAGGAGGCTCAAGGCTTCTGGCTTTGGACTGGCTTGGCTCTAGCCATTGCGGCCACTTGGGGAGTGAGCCAGCAGATGGAAGATCTTTTTCTTTTGTTTCTTCTTCTCTCTGTATATTTGATTTTCCAATAAAATAAATGAATCTTAAAAGTCAGAAAAGACCATTTCTTTATTTATTTAAGAGACACACACAGAAAATGGGAGAGAAAATGTCTCCATCTGCTGTGTACTCCCTCAGATGCTTGCAAGGACTGGAGCCGGAGCTAGGAAAGCCAAGCTAGGTCCCAACGTGGGCAGCGGGATCCCAGTTACATGAGCCATCACTGGTGGCCTCACAGGGTCTGCTCTAGGAAGAAGCAGGAGTCAGGAGCGAGGGCCAAAAGCCAAAGCCAGGTGCTCTGCTGTGCTGCTGCAGGCCTCATCACTAGGCTAAGCACCTGCTCTGCTCTTTTTGAAAGGATGGTCCACAATTTCATGCCGACAGTTTTAGAAATTCACGTGAAATACACATAATTTTTCAAAGTGCATGTTTAGACATAGCTACAAAGATTTAATAGCTCCATATGTACTAAGAAATTAAATTCATTTATGAAAACCTTCCCCAATATAACTAATGGCCTAAATAGTTTCATGGGGGAAGTCTCCTAAGGATTCAGAGAATAAACAATTGTACAATCATAGGTTCTTCAGGAAAACAGAGAAGAATCAAATGCTTTCCAATTCATTTTCAAAGACTAATATCATGCTGCTAGGAAAATCTGATGGCTCTAAGAAAAAAACAGAACTATAGTCCTAATTAATACAGGTGGGAAAAAACCCTTACTAGCAAATCAAATCTAGAGAAAGGAAAAATAAAAAAGGAGTATTAGCTTTCTCCTTACTCTTCTGTACTTGTATTCCTGTGATGGTTTATTATCGCTTCACTTCTAATGTCTGAGGCCTATAAGCATGTCTGGTAGGGTCAGTCTAGTGGTGATCAATTCCTTCTATTTTGCTTGTCACAGAAAGTTTTTATTTTTGCTTTTAGTTTTGAAGGATAGCTTCACTGTGTACAGTATTCTTGGTTGGAGTTCTATTTTCTTCCTTTCATCCTATTGTCTAGTGGCCTGTTTAGTTTCAGTAGAGACGTCTGCTTTTAATTGAATGAGGATTTCCTTATAAGTGACATCTTTGTTCTTGCTGCTTTTACAATTCTGTCTTGTTTTTGCCTCACAGAGGATGTATTAGTGGTCCCTTAGGCTTCCTGGAAGTGGATGTTGGAGGACTTTCAGCAACCACTTGATGGAATAGGTTTTCTATGCCTTTCATGGTCCTTCCTCCTTATGGAATACCCACAGCGAGAATCTGTACACGTTTAGTGTGTCCTGAGGGCTTTGTTCTTCTAAATCCCTGCTTTGCTTTGTGGCGATGATGCTGGTGTTTTTTTTTTTTTTTTTTGTATGACTGGATTACTTCAAAAGACTGCCTTCAGAGCTCAAAAATTCTTTCTTCTACTTACTCAATTATTCTCCTGGGGACTTTCAAAAACATTTTAAATTTCATTAATTGATTTCCTTAGTCCCCAGGTTTCTGACCTTTGCTGAATTTCTCATTTGTATTGTCGACTGTCTTCCTAGCATCACTGAGTTGTCCACCCATATTTGTTTGTATCTCATTAAGCTACCTTAAAATCATCACTTTGAATTTCTGTCATATAATTTGCTCATTTCCCCTTGGTCTATCCCTAGACAGCCATTTTCTTTCTTCGGAGGTATCGTGTTACCTTGCTTTCAATGAATCTGTGCCCCAGTACTGGCTTTTGTGCATTTAGTGGGTCGTTTGCCTTTACCAATTTCAAAGGGTGGCTCTCATAGTGAAGACTTATCTGCTGGCAATATATTCTAGACTGGATAGGATGTGCTGGCTCTGGTGTGCACTCCAGGGTGGTAACCATGCAACTTCTTTTAGCTATCAGCAGCACTGACAGCGCCTGCAGGTGTCTCAGCACCCTGGGATGCAAGAAGGGTGGACTGCTCACCTGGTGGGGAGGAAGCTCCCTGAGGTAGGCAGGTTCAATGGTAGCTCTGTATGCAGTTCCCATGACTGTGGCTGTGGGTGTGGGTCCCCATCAGTTTCTGCAGGTAATGTGAGTTTGGGGTCCATATGAAGTGTCATAGAATGCCCAGCAGCAGTATAGGGGTTCTGTCAGTGTCTGTGTGCTGCCACACTATGCCCAGGTGGGGACTCTTGTCCATTTTTGAGGGCTATAGGGGTGATACCAGCTGAACCTCAGCCTCTCAGGGTACCAGTGGCCCAACCTGCTCTGCGAATGGGCTGCTCAACTGCGTTGTTGGGTCATGGGAAGATGGGTGGGGCTGCCTGGTTGTGGAATTCCTAGGGGGTTGAAGGCACCAAGGAAGGGTTACTCAGCTCTGGGAAGGTGGGTGGCAGGGTGTCTGCTTCCTCAGGTCTTCGTGAGCTAAGCTTTTTAATCAATATTTAACATTTTAAAAGCAATGTATCTCTAAGCTTACTTGACCCCTTTTTTGAAATGGATTCCCCCCAAATTCTTAATCAGTTAAGCTACAGAGAAAGCTTAATGGTTTGCCAAGCAAAAAACATGACCTTATTCTATTCACTTGATAATAACACACCTCTCAAATGACTTTTGCCTCCCATGTCCCAATTGCACTCAAAAGACACGACATGAGAAATCTACTGTTGTACCACTTTTTCAAATGGAACATAGTACTTGTCAGCCTTAGTCATGCTATTAAAGACGGAAGCTCTAATTCCAGTCTCACAGAAGGACATTTTAAGGCTGCTGACATCTAATTAATCTCCCATTCCATTTTTGCTTACCAGATCTTCACACTGGGTAGCTTTTAGTCTCTTTGCTATGTCCAAGGCAGTTTCTCCAGCCTGGTTAACTGAAACAGGGGAAAAACAAACTTGCAATGATTTTCTAGGCTACATTTTAAAAAGGCAAGGAACGACAACCCAGTGACAGGCAAGTCTGTTTTGGTGCTCTCATGGGGCCCCGAAGGGACACCAGGCCACATCCTTACCGATGTCCATGGTGGGCTTGCTCCTAAGAAGCAGCTTCAGACACTCAGGTTTACCATACAGACTGCAGTAGTGGAGCACCGTGTTCCCCTGGGCCGTCTGCTTATCCAGGTTCCCACTGAGGAAATCAAATGGTTAGGAAAAGAATGTACTCCGTAGCTTAGAAATAAAGATGTGCTCCCTGCTTCTCCATGAGGTATCTAGGTACTTCAAAAGGTTCCTGGACAACGTGTAGGGAAGATGCCTGAACTACTAGTCTGTGTGGCTTGTGTGCACACAGCACTCCTCGTAGGTGGGTTCATATCCTCAACGGTTTGGATCATTCTGCTGTGGAGAAGCTCCGGTTCCTCCTTAAAAATCTGCTTTGTACAGAACTGCCCAATACAGAATTCCACATGTGGAAACCTTCTCTGTTCGGTCTTATCTTCCTAGCGCCATGTCCTGATTGAGTTGGCTGTTGACCTGGTCACCTATAGCGTCTCATATTGAGCATATGAACAATAAACACTCTTGTCTGTATGGCTGTGTTGTTCAAACTTTCAAACTGTACTAGGGTGACAGGTTTTTTGGACACAATGACAGGACTTTACATTTACTAAGGCCAAGCATAGGCACACTACAGTGTGTGCCATGACTGGCTTGCCATTAGCTTTTGTAAATAAATTTTTAATGGAACACAGCTATGGTTTTCATATACCTATTGCCTATGCCTCTTTCACATCGCAGTAGCAGACGTGAACAGCTGTGATAGACACCGCATGGTTTATAAATCCTAAACTTTTCACTACATGGTTTTTTACAGAAGATTACCAACTCCTGATTTGGTTACTGACAGAACTGGTTTGTGTGAAATTATGACAAACATTCAAAGAACTCAACAGAGAAAACCAAAGCCATACCAGTTTTGAACAAGAAAGTCAACCAAATGGAGAGATGTCTGGTCTGCAGTTCGGACTGCAAGATGAAGGGCAGTTTCGCCAAGCTCCTAAAAGGGAAGGGCAGGGAGAAGTGGGATGATCACAGGCCGCTTGCTTCCACAGCTGCATTTGCACCCCCTGCCTCCCACTAACTAGAAGGAGCATCCTTTCTCAATCGCAAACTCTGGATTTCAACATGGTCACCCAGTGTTATACAGTAACTCATTACGTTAGTAATCTGTTAGATTGATGTTCCACGGTGGTATTTTGTCCCATGACTTAGTGAGGCCTTACCTGTCCAGATTCCAGGAGTGGTTCCATGAGCTCAACTCCTTCTGCGTAGACTTGAATTAGTGCAAGCAAATCCCTGGATTTGATAGCCTCAAGCAATTCATTCAGTTTAGCTGCTGGAGATGAGCAAGTCTTCCTTGAAAACCTGTGATCTACATATTTTGCAGTGATATATTCCTTCCGGACAGTCCTAAGACAAGACACAACGAAATGAACAAGGAAGTTTACTAAGAGCTTAAAACAGGTTTAAATTTTTCAGACTGAAATTCACCTTTGAAAAATGTTATTTTACCTAAGGTCCGCTTCTTTTTTTTTTTTTTTTTAAGATTTATTCATTTTTATTACAAAGTCAGACATACAGAGAGGAGGAGAGACAGAGAGGAAGATCTTCCGTCTGATGATTCACTCCCCAAGTGACTGCAATGGCCCGTGCTGCACTGATCTGAAGCCAGGAGTCAGGAACTTCCTCCAGGTCTCCCACATGGCTGCAGGGTCCCAAGGTTTTGGGCCGTCCTCGACTGCTTTCCCAGGCCACATGCAAGGAGCTGGGTGGGAAGTGGAGCTGCTGGGATTAGAACCAGCGCTCATATGGGATCCTGGAGCATTTAAGGCGAGGACTTTAGCCATTAGGCCACCACGCTGGGCCGGGTCTGCTTCTTTTAAAAAGGCCTACTTTAATTTATCTGAAAGGCAGTATTACGGGAGGGTATATGGGGGAGAGAGCATGAATCTTTCATCTGCTGGTTCACTCCCCAAATTGCTGCAAAGACTGAGGCTGGGCCAGTTGAAACCAGCAACTGGTAGCTTTTTCCGGATCTCTCCACATGGACGCAGGGTCCCAAATGCTTTGTACCATCCTCTGCTGCTCTCCCAGATATATTCGCAGGGAGCTGGATCAGAATGGGTATAGCCGGGACACAAAGCAGAATCCATATGGGATGTTGGCACTCAGTTTGTTGACTTAACCTGCTCCAACACAGCACAGGCCCGAAAATATGCTTCTTTTTAACATCCAAGAACACCAAGTTTTACATCAAGTTATTCTAAAACACACACTAAAGAAACTCATTTATTTACTAATATATGCAGGTATGAGAAATGACATTCCCAAGTTAGTGGAAAATGGATTACAGGACGTTTGTTTCTGCCTGAATCAATAACACAACAAATTTGCTATTTACTAATACTCCAAACTCAGACTCATGAAGTACATAAAGAAATTAATTTTTAAAGTTCAGTGATCAATTATATTTTTCCAAGTTTCATGGAAAGCATTTTAGTCATCAGACATAATTCTCTTTTTTATACAGGCAAGGGAATATGCTCGAAGGGCTGCCCCTAAAGCAACTCGCACAGGCCGAGCTCTGAGCTCAGACAGGGACAGTGCAAGCTGCCTTTTCCTGGGGGAGCTCTGTGGATACATGCCCCGAATGTGAGCGCACATGGAGCATTCCCAGCCTCTAAAGGAAGCACCTTCTCCACTTGGGTCTAAGAGCTGCTGGAGGAACGGAACTCACCTCCCAGCTGCGTGGGTCATCTGTGGTTACCGTTGTGGTCTTTGGGGAAAGGCTGAAATGCATGGCTGGCTCAGTGGGAAGGGGAGGGAAGACACAGGGGTGAAGACCCATGTTCTAGATTGACACTGGCTGACATCTTGGACCTAACTGCACCTGTATCTTTCCTCTGAATGTCCAAGTTACTTATTCAATGAATAAAAAGACAGTATATGGGCTTTGGGTTCAAATCTTAGTTTTACAGCATACTAGCTGTGTGACCTTGGACAAAGCACTTAATTTTCATGAGCTTCACTTCCCCCAACTCCCATTTATAATGGAGACACAGTACTTTAAAAAGTTTGAATGCAAATCTAAGTAAAAGTGTTTTTGGATACAGTAATAAATTCACATGACTCAAAATGGAGAAATGGTATGAAAATGTATCGAGTTTCCTACTCCCATCTCAGAGTGAGCACATTAATTAGTTTCATATTTTTCTTACAATGTTTCCTCAAGTAAACAAAAAAGCACATGCAAGTATTTTTTACTATCCAAATTTTGCAGTCCAGGCATTAAGACTCAGAGATGAGAGCTTCATTGGTGAATTTAGCCAAAACCTAACTCCTTAGCTAGCACAGTGAGTCTGTTAGAGCATATGTATCAACCATTCTTCTCCGTCCCATTACATCTTCCTGTCCCTAAAGGCAGCCTATTCCATAGTGCTGTGTACCCTGCTCCTTAATAATCCTGGAGAGTGTCTCCTATCAGACACAGAAAGCTTCCATCTTTTCTACATCTATACAGCATGCTGTCATGTGACTGTCTCAGGGAATATTTAGTTAGATGCCAACAGAGACTTGCTTTGTTCCTAATCTTTTATCACAAAACAGGAATAATTCGGAACAGCTGAACCAAAGGGTAAATAAACCCAGGGCTTTGGTAAATAGGATTGTTTTGCTACTAGGATGCAGAGTGTGTTTCCCACAGTCCTGCTGAGTGGGCTGTCGAGCACTGGGACGGCTGCCAGTCTCACGGCAGGCTCACATAGGCTGTGTATGTCTATCACTGATCACAACACGCTTTGCCTTGGAGACGACCGGCTCAAGAACTTCTATGCTCCACAGAGCAGGTGCTAGGCAGCGACGACCCCCCAAAGGTGCAGTGAAAACAGCTGTGCATCCCAGAAACACATGCCAGGAAACTTCCCTTGGCTCTGCTTTGCTCAGATTATGAAGTGGGCACCAAAATATTTTTTAGAGAATGTAAAACAACAAAGTGTGGTACAAGCGTTCATGGCATCAGAAATACTTACATATCACTGGAAGGGGTGGGCTTTGGTGAGGGGCTGGGTAAGTTTGCTTCCATAATATCATTAAAACTATTATTTCCCACATTCTTGGCCAGCTGTAACAAAAACAAAATACAATATAGGAGACTCTTTAGTAGCAGCTAAAACTGTTAGTTGCTTTTTAAGATTCGTGAATATGTTTTATTTCATTCATCTGATTCAAAATGCAAACCATTCATCCATTTGGTCAATTTAACACTCATTTACTGAGCATCTACTGTGTGTCAGCCACTTAACTTTGAACGTTGGATGTACACAGATAGGTGAACCATGATCCTTTTCCCAATGGGTGCTTCTAATCTAAATGACAAGAAAATCAAATACGAGGGAAGTCTTCAAAAAATTAGTGGAAAATGTGTATCCTGAAAAAACTATGCACGGATTTCAAAAGGTTTCTGCACCAACATGAAGTTATATGTAATCTCAGGTTCTACAAACATTTTTAAGTGCTGGGCTAGAGCAGGATCCTGTCCTATACACATACAACCTAGCAGGACAGGCTCCAGGTGTCAGTTTATGTTAAACTCTCAGCGAACAACACACCGTTTCTCCATCGCATTCCCTTTTTATAGTGAACAAATATGGACAGAAAAAAAATGTGAGATTATTTGTTGGGGGAACAATCTTGAGTTTATTGCACAAGTGTTTACAATCTGGACTTCCCTATTTGTAATTATGAAACTGGTTCCCATTGACGTAAGCAGGCAGAGCACAATGGCATTTCTGTATCGAAGTACAGCTATGTCATATTATCAGGACGGAGCCTTTTCTCTAATCCTGAAATGAGCTGGGGAGCACATCATCTCCTACTTCCTAAACGAGGGAGTGCAACCCGACATGGATCCTCATCACATGTCCAGAAGGCAAGGGCTGCTGGCAGGCCATGTTCTACCCTGCCCCCTCCAGGCCAGGCTACTGACAAGCTGGGCCTTCCGCATGGCGACTCAGAGTCAGTCAAGTTCTATTCAAGGGAGAGCGTTCTGTCTCAGGAACCCCAGTTTTTTTTTTTTTTAATTCACTCTCACAGTGACCCAGGGCTAACATTATGTACCACAGGGATCCATACCATAGAGCCTCACAGGGATGCCAATGGGTCTTCTCCCCTTCCGCCCACCCTTTCTCTACTAATCTGGCTCTGATAAGGGCTCTGAATTTGGATGAACCCTGATGCAAAGGATTGGAAGTTAAAGAACGCCAGGTTTAAGGATTTATGACCCTTTTTGTCTTAAAGAACTAAGTATCACAACATTCCATGGTGTTTCCACTACTACCTGAAGAAACTGTGGATCAGGGATAAATTTTTTTTTATGACAGCAATTAACTAGTTTACAATATTTTCACAAACTTGCGAACCCTGAAAATCAAACTGAGACAAACTCTTTAGTCATTTTTTAAAATAATAAGCTACTAGGAAATGTGAACATGTGAGCTCAACTGCTATTACACAAAGTCATATAAAAACCTATTTCCTATGGAAAACACAGCTTTGAGGAAGCCCATCCCAAAAGAGCCAGTTTCCTTGAGCTAATTATAGATCCATGATTCACCAGTCTTCCCAACAGGAAAATGAAATAGTTGACACTATGCATCACAGAAGTTACTTCTAAATATCCATGCCAATTCCTAAGACTCAAGAGTTAGAATGCTAGAAACTCAGTAGAAACAAACACCACCACCACCAAAAAACAAAACAAAACAAAAAAGCAATATGCTAAATCTACCCATCACAATAAGCTATTCTTCACCTCAAAGCACAGGTCATTACTTACCAAGAGTTCAGAAGTTCCTAATTTGTCTAGTTCCAAAGACTGAATGCGAGAAATATGAACTCCCATTTCTCTATGGATTCCGGAACATTCTATACAGGTCAAAATACCCAAGTTGGTTGAAAGCCAGGTGGGTTCTGTGGAAAGCATTTTGAAGTCAATAAAGTGAGATACCTAATTTTAGTGTGCCTAATATAGAGGAAATCAAAACAATAGTAAACCTTCCTGGGAATTAGCACTGGATTACTTGGGGGTAGTGCAGAGGGAGGGAAGGGGAGGCATTGGGATGTCTGCATCCTGCGATGGAGTGCCACACCCGTTTCCAGCTTCCTGCTAAGGCACACCAGGTGATGGCTCAAGCTGCCAGGTCCCTGCCACCTCCGAGAGTGAACTCCCGGTGTGAGTTCTTGGCTCGTTTTCCACCCAGCCCAAGTCCCAGCCATGGATATTTGGGGAATGAACTAGCAGATGGGAGATGTCCTATCTTGTCTCGGCCTATCTTTGCTTTTCAAATAAAACAAGTATAAAATTTAAAAAATACTATGAAGGGAAGACTTCGATGGAAGAAACATATGCTTGTATTTTAGTGGTATCATAAAAGTATCTCTTTGATATGAATTGAAAACAAAACCAAGTACTTTATTCCTATGACATGACAGAGACTTTTCCTAAGAGATCCTATGCAGCATCCATCTGAAGGCCTTGTGGGAGGGGTTCTCTCTCTGCCACCAACCCTGACAGCGATGGATTAAAGGGATGCTTACACGGGCAGGGCTCAGTGGCTCTCACTCACCTCTGTTCCAGTGCACATTAACCTATCATTCCTGGCTGAGGGTTCTCGATAAGCACTGCTTAGGAACAAGAACTATTACAGGTTTCTCTTAGTAACACTAAGCTTTTTGCTGCTACTTCCAACAGTTCCAGAACAGTGGGAATGTTCTGGGCCAAGCTTCCTTCTGATTGATCAATACATGAATACTTAGAACTTTACTGCCATTCCTTACACTGTATGCCATTGCCACACGTGAAAATGGTAAAAATAAATAAATAAAAAATTGAGACTTCTTTCAGAGAGGCCTATGACATCCTACGTAACAAAATTCAGTTTCCTCAGTGAAATGAGAAGCGGTACCCAAGAACACCATCAGGTTTGCATGTCTCTAGTTCTGACCCTTACAAACTGTGTGATCTTATATAAGTTACTCAGCATATTCTCTGAGTTCGAGTTTCCTTTTGTGTAAAATGGAGGATACCATTAATATCTTATTCACAGAGCCTCTGCAAAAATTCAATGCAATAATGTAAGCAAGACATATAGCACAAAGACTCAAGAAATGTTAGCTATGGCCAATAGCTTGGTAACCAAGTACCACTTGAAGATAGAAGGTTACGAGGGAGAAACATCCATGAGGTACAGACTGGGAAAGGTTCCTCTGAACAGGAAGTACTGCACCTCAGCCAATCCCATGTACACCATGTCACTAAGTCCTCATCAGACATTACCCCACGTTCTAGGATGAGGAACTGTTTTCAGAGCAGTAAATGGATGTGGCCTGATCCAGGTTGGCAGCAGCAAGCCTATAATTCAAAGCAGTAGACGCCACGTCTTTGGCTCTTTAACGTCCACAGTGTATAACTGCCCCTGACAGCAAAGGGGCCCTCCTGGCAGGTACCACTGTTTATGACAGGAGGTCGAAGGTTCCAGGTGAGGAAAGCTCAGCATAGGCAACAGCTTTTTCAGGTGGGAGTATGTGCTGCCTAACTCATTTTACATTTTACAGGAAGATACCTGAAGAGCCACAGTCACAGCAGACGTCATTCCCGGGCATCCGCTGGACGTCCTCGATGATGGCCTTGGTCAGATCCTCCAAGCTGTTCTCCCCTGTGCTCTGCTCTCCTCGGAAAGCCATAGCCAGGGCCTCTTCTTTGCTGTTGGTCAATACTGATACCCACCTGTGGTCAAGCACAGCACAAGCAGGAGGCCTTTGTGAGGGCATGGGAGCACGACTGTTGCCACCCTCGACTCTACTTTCCTTAAGAACTTCCAGAAGACAGCTCTTTCGCAACCCAAAAACATAAGATGGTGAAGAAGGAAAGAAATTCAAGCAAGAGTTCAAGAACGGAAAACAACACACAGGAATGAGACAGAGGAAGAGATAAAGATTAGTGTTAAGAAGGCCTTGTATGAATATACAAGGTGTGTACATTTCCATGTAGATGGATTGAGTAAAGATCAGGGAATAAAGAGGTCCAGTGAGGGTTTAAGCTGAGGTGAGGTTGAGAATTGGGTGGGAGAAAAGGAAGAGCTGTTCCTTTGAAATGCCCAACAGTGGGGACACTTGAATGTAAAGGGAAGGGATCTTTCACGTGCAGTCATAGTATTTACACTGTGAAAAAGTGTATCAACAGGGAACCATGGTGATGTTCACAAAATGAAAGAGTATGTCATTCCTAAAACCCAGACACAGCAGGGCCACTCCAGGTACCAAACAGAAGAACCCCCTGCTCCCAATCTCTGCATGGAACAACCTGAGGCCTCCCCAGCACGTGGTGAACTAACAAGGAAATAACCACAAAGTGGGGCCTGTAAACAAGCATGACAGTTTTACGTTTTCAGTATTTGGGGGTAACACCAGAGAAATGCCCACGAGTTTAACAATTTGTGAAGTTAACAGGAAAAAAAGCCACGTCACACGATGTGACTCCAAGTTTAAATATACACACTAATTACGTGCTTCTGTTGGAAAGGGAAGGCTAGAAGGAATTCCATCAGCATGTTATCACCGGCTGGCTGAGTAATCTGACACAGGTACTTCCTGACTCTGTGCCAGCTTATCATTTACCAAGTATATCATGAGCTTGCATTACTTTCATGAACAACAACAAAAAGCACTAAATTAATTAAAAAAAAATGAAGGCAGGCATTATGGCACAAACTAGTTAAGCTGCCATGTGGAATGCCTGCCTCTCTCTAAGACTATTTATATGAGTGGCAGAATTACAGAGAGGGAGGGAGAAACAGACAGCAGGAGATCTTGTATCCGCTGGTTCATTCTCAAAGTGACCGCACTGGCTGAGGCTGGGCCAGGCAGAAGCCAGGAGTAGGAGCTCCATTTCCCGTCTGCTACGTTGGGTGTAGGGACTCAAACACTTGGACCATTCTTAACTGTTCTCTCAGGCACACCAGTAGGGGCCTGGATTAGAAGAGGAGTAGCTGGGACCTGAACGTATGGCTGTATGGGATGCTGATGCTCAGGCAGTGGCTTGACCTGCTGTGCTGCTGCACTGGCTCTGGGTTAGCTCCATCTCATATCCCAGAGTCCTGTTCGAGTCCCAGCTATTCCATGCTTCCAATCCAGCTTCCTGATAGTACGCCTGGGAGGCAGTGGAAGACAGCCCAAGTACTTGGGTCCCTGCCACCCACTGGCAGACCAGAATGTAGTTCCCGTTCTTGCCTTTGGTGTGGCTCAACTACAGTGGTTGCAGGTATTTGGGGAGTGACTTAGGGGATGGAGGATCTCTCTCTTTCTGGTAATGCTGCCTTTCAAATAAATATATCTTAAACAAAACAAACCCCGTTGTTTTTTTCCTAGCTGCACAGAAAAACTGTTGAGAACAGCTAATGATGCTGTTCACCGATAATACAGATGTTTAGAATAGTCATCTTCTTGATATCTTATAGAGTGACACAGGTAAGGACAAGCAGCATCTAGAAAAGGCTTCTAGCAAGGAATACAGATAGGAGACCTAAAACCCAAAGTTGCTGGAGTATGTGGGTGCAGGTCACACCCTTAACTCTAGGTGGCGCTTGGCTTCAGTGTGTTGTGAAACAGGAAAGCACGTCCAAAAGTTTGTAGCGACAGCATCAAGGAGTTTATGAGAGTGTACGCACACAAATCTTCAAATAATTGCGTAGTGTTTTTTTTTTTAATCACAAAAAGCACCTCCCACAACTCAACTTGTCTACTGTGATACGGAAAATGGAAATGTGGGAATGCTTTATATACCTCTTTGAACTAAACAGCATAGTTTCTATCATTTTGTCTCATGTTAGAAAGTAGACACTGTTTGTCCAAAACAACTCAGGACTCTGGATTCAGTGTGCACGTGACGAGCACACCACAGTCCCTGTGCTTGCCTGTTGGCTGCAGGTCCTCCATCCTGCTTTGCGTGGCCACCCTTTGACTAGTTACCAGCGAACAGGTATTCTCACGTGCCAAGTGCCTTTAATTCTGAAACAGAATCCTACAACATTCTTCTAGGTTAGGGTGTGCGATACTTTACATAAAGGAATTGAAGCCTCCAGATGCTAACATAACCTCCTAAAGCTCTACAGCTGGGTCATGTCAGACTTGCGTGAACACTCCCTCTGCCCCGTACAAGGTTTCTTTTATTATGCTGTATTTGCCTCTTTATTCAGGAGGTCACGATAAACAAACAAACAAACAAAAACTCCTCATGAATCTGTGGAAGGAAGCCTTCCCGTCCCCTGCTTTTCTCATCTGAATTCTATTACCCCTCAGTGTCTGACTTAGCACCTTTCCTAACGAACAGCCATCAGTCCCTTCCTTCCTGTTCTATCCTGTTGCTTCTAGGTGGCTGCAACATTCTGCCTGGAGTGTAGAGTGCCAACAACCTTCTCAGACCATCACGGGTCAGCCTGGCCTGCCCCTCACCTGTGGCCATCACGGGTCAGTCTGGCCTGCCCCTCACCTGTGGAGCAGACTGACACTCCCACGAACCCAAGAGGTGTTTTCCTTGAGTCTCCCCTCCTCTGCCCTACTTAGCATTCAACCTGTTCACACTACTCTATCTTCCAGCAGAGGGCTCCATATAGTGTATTTAAAATTAGAGTGTTGCCTTTTCAATGCTTTGCACATAGTTCTTAGTATACAATTAGGACTCATTAGATATTCAGATCAATAAATGGGTAACCAGGTTCATTTTCCTTTATATTTTTCCTCTCTCTTGCTGTTTCTCCCAACTCTACTTTCTATTCTCCTTGTCACTTTTCCGGTATTTTGGCGGGATGAGAGCAGGCGAGTGTGAGGCAAAAAGGGAGAGAAGAGGATGGTGCGGTGGCTCTTTGGAAGGAAATGCAAGAGGGAAAATAACCCGGTGTGTGCCACAGTCAGGGTAGGATTCTTGATCATGCATGGAACCTGGTCCAAGTTATCCCTAAGTATGCATTAGAAACAAAAAATTGGAACACTGAAAAAAAAAAAAGGTGTAGTTGGCTAATTAAAATAAATGGTCCTCTACCAAGTGGGTGAGAAGTAATAGCCACGCACTGTCTTAATCCAGGTAGTCTACAGTGAAGAAGATGAAGACTGTTCAGAATCAGGGATCATGTCGTGAAAATGGTCCAGCAGGAAGGGCTTCAGGCTGCCTGAGGCTGCACCCCTAGTGAGCTCAGACTCCCCCTCGACCCCAAGATTTGTGATGCCAACCTGGCTGCTCTCATGTTATCAAGCAAGCTGGCCTGTCCTTCCTTCTGGGCTAGCCTCTTCCACTCCTCTCTAGGAACAATCAAATATTCAGGCCGACTGCCTGATGCACTGGGTTGTCAAACATCAAGAAAGCACCTAACTGCAGATGAGTGTTTAAAACAGTAAGAAGATCCTGTCCCACACAATTCCAGAGGATTGCGCAGAGGCTGTGGGTGGGGAAGGAGGAGCCGCAGTCCCTGGGGCAGCCAGGCTGGCCACAGCAACCAGGGAGAAGAGACTGCAAGGGTGCAGAGGGTGAGAGCAGTGTGGAGTGCCCCAGGCACAGCGACCGTGAAGAACACGGACGCTTCCCCCACTAGGCAGGCGTTTCAAAGTACTTACGCTACATAATCCTGCTCATCCTCTGCCTGAAAGTGATACGTCCTGTTATCTAAAACACAAGGGAAGAAAAAGTAGGAACTCAGAAATCAGCACACTTTCAGGCACACTGTCGATTTTTAAAGCTCCCACAAGAAGAACAGACACAATAAAAGTAGGATTTTTAATATTTAGTTTTACCCCAATATTTTTCGGTAGCTTACTTTGTCAGTTATTTTTCTTAAGTGCAATAAACAACAAAATAATCACAAATACCATGCAAACATCCAGTGTTGGAAACAAAACAGAAAGATGAGGGAGAGGTCTTGTGTGATCCTAGTGGATTTTAGGGACATGAAAGAGTGCCAGCTGTTACTTGGCCATTTTCTTTTTCAAGCAGACTTTCCTTTAGAGAACAATTTACCTCTCAGAAGTCATTCGCTCACTGTTCCCGGCTCACTCCAGGGCAGCCCCGTGCCCTGGGGCTGACAGAAGCCTCTACGCTCTGTCGCCCAGCTAGGCACAGCAGTGACCTCACTTAGATTTTGTGGGCACGTGCAGAGAGGACAGACACTGCCTTAAAACTCAGTGTTTCTGAAAACATTTGCACACATGTAGGTCATTCACCAAGCAATTCCAGACTAGGCGGGACAGTATGAATGACACGGAACATTTCCACTTTGTTGTTGCAGCAGCATGAATCAAATCATGAAACTTCTCTGAGCGTCAGCTTTTTATCAAAATGGGAAAGTGATAGAAGTTCTGGGAGAATTAGCAGCAACATGCGTCAAGCACCAGAGGTCCATCAGATGCTCAGTGACAGGCAACCACCCTTAATGACTTACAGGTTGCCTGGTCTTTTGAGATCACAGTGTATATATCCCATTTTAGCTGACAGCAGACCACCTGTGTAACAGTAGGCCCCAAACACCATGCTGCCGAGCGACAAAGGAGCCACCATGTACATATAAGTACACCAATGTTGGGATAAAGACGGAATTGCCTAATGGTGTCTTCCTCTGAATATATTCCAGTCACTAGATGTCTAATGCAATAATTCATAACTTTTCCTATTTCTCTGTTACTAACAACCCAAGAAATCCTCCAGTCACAGGCATCACAGAAACTCTGAGCCTCATGCAGATGCTCCAGAATCCAGTCTACACACACCTGAAAAGGCCTTCAACTGCCTCAGACTTTTTGGTCAGAGTAACTTCTGAGTTTTCCCTGACACAATTGCAACAAAATGATTTGCAGGGTAGACAGGGTTTGTGCCTCTGCACCTGCATCATGCCCTTTGGCTACTATGCTGCCTTGCCAGGCTCTGACAGAGAAGGGAAGCCTAAGTCATTTCAGGGTCATTGCCTCTTCCTTCTTTATAAGGTGTCACCCGCACTAGAGGGTGTGTCACTCAGTCAATGTAGAAACAGCTCCCTCCCACACAGCAGACACAGGGGGTAGCTCCTGATGCAGCCCTATCAGAACAGAGAAACAAACTAGGAACCATGGGGTATGACTATGACAGGAGGCGGGGCCACCTGCTTGGAAGCACGGACATGATTTTTTCTTTATCAGTTTCATGTTCTAGGGATGTTAATTCTGGACAGACACAGAAGCAAAGCCGTACTCTCAGTCTACGTCGATGTACTTTAGCAGAGGCACACACCAGCATGACCGAGTGACTTAGAAAAACACCCACGCGTGGGCTTCACACTAGACTGCAATCCTGCAGATCCGAGAGAACAGTGGAAAGAGCTTAGACACATCTCTCCAAGGGCATAAAGCTGTGCGCTCTCAGTCCAGCATTGGTCTAGTTCAATGTATGCCTCTAAGTTCTACCTACGCCCAGATTTGATAGCGTAAGCCTTCCCAACTGCATGGGGACTAGGTACAACGCAAGAGAGCCAAAGGGTCTTTCCAGAGCTCCCTGTGCAGGGGTAACAAGGAGCTGTTCAACTGCTATCTCTGAAGCGCCCTTCTTGGAAGAGCTGCTGCTTCCAAACCCAGACTGGAACTGTGCAGGTGTCAGCATCCACAGGGATTGACTCGGGGAAAATGACTTACGTGAGATCAGGTCAAAGGACTTCTTGTCTTCAGCATTTGGTTTCACCTGGCAGGTGAGGAGGTTCACCTTAGCTGGTTGCCTGTTAGACTAGAAAACAAGAAATGGGAGAACTTATGTGCACAGAGACATTCCGGTCGCACGTTCAGCCTCCTGTAGCCCATTCCAACTGAGCTCAGCCTAGGCCGGCCCCAACTGCGGTGGGCATCTGGGGAATGAACAAGCAGACTGAAAGTCTCTTGTTTTAATCTCTCACTGCCTTTTCAATACATACATACAAATACAAATAATAATAAAAAACTATGAATCTTAAGTAGGAAAAAAAATTTCAGATGTCCTTCTGGATGACTTTTAACTATGCATGAATATCTTGTGGCCAAACAGAATGGAATAATCTACAAGACTTGCCAGAGTCCAAGCACAAATAGTGTCAACACTTTCAATATTGTAACATTCTAGGAAATGTAACTGAGTTCTCATTAATTCATTCAAAATTGTCCCAGTAATCAATTATTCCAAACTAAATGCCTGAGATACCCACAAATTTTGGTTGCAATGCCAAATTTACTCATCAAGAAAATACAGGGACAATTACTACCAGTAATGCACTGCTGATGCACCCTGGTATTGGAGGATTCACATCACTCCTAAATACAAAATTGTTAGCATCCTCCATATCTACATAGTCACACTAGGGAGTCTCGCCACAATGCTGTTCTGGTCAAAACTTTGTAGCCTTCCTGTTGGCCACTGACTGGCCAATGCCAGGATCCTAGTTTACTTCAGGACACAGGACCAGCTGAAAAGACAGTGGCCACATTTAATGGCGTCTCTAGTTAGGGTATTATATTTCAATTTGGAATCTGAGTCTCTGGGCTGGGCTTTGCTCCCATGGAAGTAAATAATGGGATTCCTGAATCAGATCTGTGTGCCAGTCTCAACTGGCAGTTATAAAAATCCCTACTGCAGGCACATTTCCAGGAGGAATTTAAGTCTTTAGGGAAGAGATATGGGGAGGTACTGGTAGGGTGAGGGCATACTAGTGTCTCAATGACTGTCTCTCCTAGGTAACAGGCACTGCACCATCTATTTCTGCTTACCTTCCTGTGCTTTCTCTGATTGTATTTGAGACCTTTCTCCCTCTGTGATCTCAAGGACATTAGACACAGGAAACAATGCCCTTTGTTCTGCAACTGTTCCAAACCATGTTGCCTTACAGGAGGATCATGCTCTCCCTTAATGTAGATTTGATTTAGAAATGGAACTACAAGTCTAGGAAAGTTTTGCTTAAGAGGAAATATGGGAAAGGATTCTTGTTCAACAGAACTGGCCAGCAGACAGCAGGCAGGAATTTCTGGAGCCACACATTTTTCTTGGGGTATTCCCAGAATTTGTGGGACAAAAGGCTTTAGATTCTTTTATAGACTCTTTAGCATCTGTGGCCCAAAATCTAGACCCAGTCTAGTATAAAAAGAACCAGTCTTAAATTTCATTTATTTCAATGTTAGTATAATCACTGGATTTCCGATATGAATAACAGTGACCACCTTAAAGGTAGTATCCCAGGTAATGGTGACTCATGTTAAAAATACTATGTTCCAATTTGAAATCCACATTTGAAAGGAGGATGTAGAAAAGCTTAGGGAGATCAAGAGCTGATTAAAGGCTTGGAAAATGGAAACTCTGAAGATGGGCTTCAGGCAATCGTTAGTCCACAGGAAATAAGGCCAGGGGTGACTTAATAACTATCTTCAAGTACATGAAAGTTGTTATTGGAAAGGTTGGGCAGCTGTTTTCCATTTGCACAAAAAGAAATGTACTCAAATTGTACAAGATTTGGGCCAGACATAAGGAAGGACTTCCTCAGCTGAAGTTGATTTTCTATAATAAAAGGTTTCAGGTTTCTAAAGTGGAGAAATTTCTGATTCTAAAAAACCTTAAAAATTGTTAGATACTATTCCCATTTGAATGTGGAAGAGGGTTAAATCAATGCTTTATTTTTCTTGCAAGTCTAGATTTCTCAACAGTTCTGCCAACAGATACAACAAAGCAGCAGAAGCAAAAAACCTTAATAAAGGAAATGCTTATCAGCTCATGTTAACTACCACTCACCTCCCTTCTAAGCTCAAACTATCTGCAAGGATTTTGCTGGAAAGTTTCTGACATAAGGGTTCTAGTATGCTTTAGATGATGCCATGATCGACTCTTTGCTTCAAGGCCAGTGACAAGCCATACAGATGCCATCAGGAGTTTGTCATTTTCCTGAATACGGCAGTAACAGGAACTTCACTGGACACCCCCACATCTCACATGCACCGAATGCTCTTCTCCAACCTGGGCCAGTGAGGCATCTGACAGGTGACGGATCACAACCACCATGGCCTTGGTGGGGACAGCATGCAGCCAAGTACAGTTTGACTGGATTTGAGCTTTCACTCCTCTTCCACTGATTTTATGACATGGAAAGATAGGTAGGTGACAACAGACCCATGGGAGTGGTTGAACATCCCAACAGCTGAGAACACATTTCTCAAGGAGAGAAGGCCAGAAGCAAGTAGAGTTCCAAGGATAAACTTCAATTTCAGTATGTTGTTGGATTATTTTGATGAAAGGACACCTTAGAAGTCAACTGGAAATTTACTCATGTGGTAGGTATTTAGTAACTCTACCACATTTCCAGCACATGTAAAGAGCACACAGTTCATTTTACAAGCAGCTATACGAAAGATAAGATCACACACGGGGACTGTGCATGTTGCCCAGGGGGTCGTGGTGTCTGAGTTCTTGGGTGTTCACTGAGAACTGAGATTCCCCATGCATAGCCCAAGCCCCTCCCTGTGAGACCAGCAATGGAGGCCAATGGGGTGAAGGAGGAGGAGGCACAAAGGCCTGGACCCTGGAACGAGACAGCAGCAGCATCAACCGATGCTGAGCAGAGGGAGGAAGACCCTGCCTGTGGTGCTAAGGAACTCTGTTTCCTGGCTCAGGTGCTCTGCTAATCAACAGAACAAAGTTGAGTCGGGGGAAAGACCAGTGAGACCTGCATTTCAGGGGGTGGCAAATAGGAGCAGGTGTAAGACACGTAAGCAACGGAGAGAATCTCAATTTTTGAATTACAGCTCATTGGTAGTTGGGGTCAGAACCCATATGACGCAGCTGAAATCGTAGATTTTAAGCAAATTACACCAAGAGCAACCTGTGAGGGCAGGTGAACTCTTGGCCTAGGACCGTGACTGGCAGCAGGGGAAGTACTGTCACTGAAGGCACTCTTGGGGCAGCGTCTGTTTCAGGAACCCGCAGTGCTTCTCCTCCAAAGGCATAGGCCCCCTTTCACAGGTGTCACTCTCAATTACTGTTAGTATCTTGATTTTAACACGATGTCTAAGAGATGCCTATTTTAAAAATATTGGATGAATCTGAATACAACACTTTGCAAAGTTCCTTATTACATGCGTCCATTTTGTACACACAGGAACTTAAATTTTTCAAGTTTTTTATTTCTGAAAATACGTTGATTGAGGAGGCTCTGAGTGCTTTCCAAGAATAGTAGTAATGAAGAGATTAACAGAATGATGTGCCACCCAAAACAGAAGCTGGCCATTCTGCCAGAAAAAGTCATCGGAAGTGTAAGCAGGAATCCACACAGAGACAGAATGAGTCAATTCTGGTGAATGTCTGCATCTCTTGAAAGAAAACAAACATCACACATTTGTCCCTGGACAGCTTCGAGTGCATCCTGGTACAGTGTTTTTGCTCAAAGTGTAAAGTTGTTAGCGTAGGCATATTTTTTTCAGTTAGCAGAAACAGCTGCTACTGGAACTGGGATGCAGAAATTATTTCCTCTCGTCATCCTGCTGAATTGTTCTGCTTCACACACAAAATGTGAACATCATTAGTCACTTGGGAGATAAGCACTGGACCTAACCAGGCTGAGGCTGATAGATACAAAGAGATAAACATACACAAAAAGCACTCTGCACCTGCTGCTAGTGCTTGGAAACAGACTTGCTCAGGCCATCAGGGTCATGCCAAAAGTTTCGTTCGGTCAATCTTTGACACCCACTATGCCCTAGAGAAGCATATGCAGTTGGCACGCAGTCAGTGACTGCAAGAAACTCCTGCCAGGAGGTCGGGCATGTGTTGAACCACTGCTCGAGACCTCCAGGCACTAGTGTGTCAAAACTACTGGTCTCTGGAAGGCATTCTGGGTGATACAGGGGACCAAATAGCAGTTTTTCTTAGTTGGATACCTAAACTGCTATGTACTCAATATATGTTCTATCATTTAATTCTTAAAGTAACCCTTAAGAGTTAGGTATCATGACCGAATCTGTTACACAGATGAGGAAACCAGTGGTCAGAAAGTCAAAGAAAACTGTTCTGTGTTATGCAGGAGGTCAAAGGTGAAGCTGAGATCCGAGCAAGTCTCTCCCGACTTACACTCACTGCACTGATCCTGTTACGGAGCCCTTGGAGAACCTGCGCAAAGGAGCTTCCCCTTTTTCCTCTTCTGCTCTTTCTCCATCAGCAGCCAGCAGCCTGTACTGTTTCTTCTGAGAAATTCCACCTATTCTGGATGAGGATGATCCTCAGACAGCTACGGAGAAAAGCTGCTGATTACGGAAATAAAAAAATTCATTCTAGCATGCAGAACTCCTCCAATCATTTTAACCACGGGACTGAATTCGGCTTGGTACAATGTGTCTCTGTGTAAGAAGTACTAGGAAATGGAGCTGGGGGTTGATTCTAATCCAGGTGGCCTTGCTTCCCATCCAGCTCCTTGCTTGTGGCCTGGGAAAGCAGTTGCAGATGGCCCAAAGTCTTGGGATCCTGCACGTGCGTAGGAGACCTGGAAGAGGCTCCTGGATCCTGGTTTCGGACTGGCTCAGCTCTGCCTGTTGCGGTCTCTTGGGAAGTAATCATCAGACAGACCTTTCTCTCTTTCTTCTCTGTATATCTGACTTTGAAATAAAAATAAATAAATCTTTTAAAAAAGAAAATGCAGATGGCCAAGTCAGGAATCTGCCATCTCATTCATGTTCTGACTCAAGAATCAGGTGTTACACAGTGCTACAATGTAAAGAGAAAAA